ACACAATTTCTGGACATCTCCTTTCTTTTTATTCTCCGCTTTAACTTTATACCTTAATTGCCACGCAGCATTTCCCTTTCTCGCGCCGCGTTGCCTTCCTTTTATTTCTAGACTTAACTCTCTCACGCAGTGGAGCTGGCCATACGGGCTAGGCCCTATAACATCATCAAGCCACTGCCTTCTTTAAACTGTATAGTACATATGTACAAACAAACCTGTAGTAGTATATATACCCCAATAGATCCAGGAGACTCCTCAGCGAGCCCTCCTGTTGTATACCAACTAACTCACTGCAGCCTTAGGGGTAACCACTCCCCATATTCATATTCTCTATAGTGTGTTCTGTGTGCGCCGAAGTAGATCACTCTTGGTTGTTACAATGTCAGCATTGAAGAAAGACTTAATGGCACTTATCTCGTCTTCAGAAAGGATGGCAAAATTGAAAACCCAGCCCTTGAAGTCAAGGTATCATCAGATCATCGTCCTATTCACTATGTCAAACCAGTATCTGGAGTATCCAATACAGTATCCAGCTTCTTAGTCACAGACTATGACTTCAATAGAGAAGATCTAGATGGAAATACCGATGAATCGGAAACTGCTGCTGAAAGTGTCACCCCAGAAGAAGAAACTGTGCCTGTTCCAGATAATTCCCCAATTGGTTCAGTCGAAAATTCTAGCACTCTCAGAGCACTGGAAGACCTGGAAACTTGTCTAGAAGAAACTATTGAAGCCCCTATCCCTATCCCCAATGCCAGCACCTTTGAAACATTCTTTGACTTTATTCACTCAATCAGGGAAGATGAAAGGTCTGCTATTTTTGGTCTACTGAACAACCTTCAATATAGTCACAACATGAGTTCACTCTCACTGACTTCAGACTATGTCATGAGAGGCACCATGGCTTCGATGAAAACCACAACCTTTATGCTGATTATGTCCTGCTCCATGCTCATTTGCGATTTGACCAGAATCATGGACCTGGAAGAGCACAATCTATTATCAGTCGCTTAGGAACTGCACATATCCGCTTTTTTCCTCAAACAGAATCATTTCCAATTCCCACTGATGAAGATATAAATGGACCTCCATCACGTGATATGAATGGTCAAGTCAATGTGACGGTGGAGGTAATACAAGAATCCGATTCGGAGCCGATACACAATCATATAAATGGATTAATTAATGATGACTCATCCACTGATTCTGAATCACCACCCCCATATTTGCGTCAACAGTTACCATCAAATATCAGTGACTCACCCCCATCACCATCCTCTACCAATGCTACTATTACTTCGTCACTTTCTCCTGATAATTGCACACTCATGCATACTATTTGCAATGATAGTCAAGAGGATGAAAGGGAGATTGAATCCTCACCGCCCCTTTACTTATCCTTCTCCACAACAATAAGAGTGGAGCATCAACCTTCCATCAATATATCATCCAATATTACTCCATATCTTCGAACTTCCATGCATCACTATCATCATTTTCCCACGTCACCATCAGCTCAGCCATTATCAATTATTCACACCAGTGCCAGAAGTTCTACCCCAATTCTAACACATCTTCACTCCATCCTAAACGCTTACATCGAGCATTACAAGCACCTAACATGTCCTGGCTCGAAGGGTTTCATATTACTAAAGAAGCTCTCATCATCGAGATTGTGGTGGGAGTGTTACTTGTCATCACCCTCTTCTACAGTTTTGTCTTCCCTCATATTTGCACTTATTGTCAACGAGAACGTGTTGAGGTTATTCACCTCCACAACAGGACAATTTATCCATCCAGTGCATCAACATTTACCACCAGCACTGAGGTGCTTGCTAGTGCCGCAGTTAAAGTTTGAGGTAGATGCTGGTGATACGTTTCTATATTCCTTTCTTACTTAACACTCCATTCAGCGCTTTTGGACCATATGCCACCTTTTCCCTTTTCCTTCTTTCTTGTTACATATCTATTACTTGTACAAAATGGCCTCTTAGATTTCTATGTTATCCGGTTTTTCCTTCCTTTACTCTTGTACCAACTTTTTTTTCTATTGTCTATGTTCCCCTTTTGTCCTTATCTGATCTTTTTCATTCCCCCCTTGTAAAACATCCGACCTCATCCTTATCCTATTCTGTCCGAGATGACGCAAAACTACCATGGCACTTTCCTTCTTTGAACACTTTTTGTTTTGACCCTAGTTATATGATAGATATTGTGGACCCTATACCTATACCAGCACCTGATTGGTCGAGTTTTGGAGCCTACAAACATGTTGATTGCAGAGTCAAACCTGTTCCTGGAGTATTCCCAGAAGATGCACGTGTCACTCGGTCATTTCCAGAAGACCCACTCCTTTTGCTCCCACCCCTTCCTGTCCTTCCCCCAGAATTTATTCCCACGCCGAAGCTCACCAAGGAGCGCCTTTATGATGAGATAAAGCTAAACTCTGATGGATTCTTATGGCCAGAAGAGGACAAGCTTTTTGCTCACATCATGATACTCAATCAGCGCAGTCTTGCCTTTGAGGAAACTGACAGAGGAACGTTCAGAGAAGACTACTTCTCTCCCTACGTCATACCTTGTTCCTTGGGAATACAAAAACATTCCTATTCCTCCTGGAATCAAGAACAAAGTCATAGAATTGCTCAGAGACAAAATCAAAGCTGGAGTTGTTTATGAGCCTAGCCAGTTGTCTTATCACTCTAAGTGGTTTTGTGTTCAGAAGAAAAATAGCAAGGTTCACATCATCCATCATCTTCAGCCACTTAATGCAGTCACTATCAAAGACTCAGGAGTACCACCTATCCTTGACGATTTTGTGGAGCCATTTGCTGGTTCCCAATGCTATACTGTGTTTGATCTTTTTTGGGGATTTGATGTTTGAAAAGTGCACCCTGACAGTCGTGACCTTACCTCTTTTCTATTGCCACTAGGACTTCTGAGGATTACTTCCATGCTTATGGGATTCACCAATTCCATTCCAGAATTCCAGAATTGCATGACTTTCATCCCGCAAGACAAAATTCCGCATATTGCCAATATCTTTGTTGATAACCTGCCAATTAAAGGTTCTGCTTCTCGTTATGAAGATGCAGATGGAAATCCAGAGACAATTCCTGGCAACCCTGGCATTTGTAGATTTATATGGGAACATGCCATTGACGTTCATCACATTATGCATAGAGTTGATCATGCTGGCGGAACTTTCTCTGGGAAGAAGACTCAGTTATGTCGTCCTCAAGTTGTGATTGTCGGACAAGTATGCTGCCCAGAAGGTTGTCTCCCTGACAGTACAAGGTGGACAAGATTCTTAAATGGCCAATTCTCCAGACTCCCAAAGATGTGCACAGTTTTCTTGGTCTATGTGGCACAGTTTGCATTTGGATCCGCAATTACTCTGCTCTTGTACGTCCCCTGACAGAATTGTATTGCAAAGGAGCTGAATTTCAATAGGGTGAACGCAGACAAGAAGCATTTGATGCTCTGAAGCATCCAGTATCCTCTGCACCAGCACTTCACCCTATAGATTATTCATCACACAACCCAGTAGTTCTCTCAGTTGATACCAGCAAGATTGCTGTTGGTTTTATCCTCTCCCAGCTTGATGAAAATAGAAGGAAGCATCCAGCTTGCTATGGCTCTATTCCCATGAATGATAGAGAGGCAAATTACAGTTAACCCAAGCTAGAATTGTATGGTTTGTTCAGAGCACTTCATCATTTTCGCCTTTACATTGCAGGAGTAAAACACTTGCATGTGGAGGTGGATGCCAAGTATATCAAAGGCATGCTCAACGACCCAGATTTTCAGCCTAATGCCACTATCAATTGTTGGATTCAGGGCATCCTTCTTTTTGATTTCAAGCTCATTCACATACCTGCTGATTGTCATCGTGGTCCTAATGCATTATCTCGTCGTCAACCAACAGAGGAAAACTTTGGAGACGCTCAAGAATCAGATGATTGGCTTAATGATACCGCCCTTCTTGTTGATCTTGCCAGACCTCTCCCATATCACCCTATGTCACTCCCTTCGTTCCTTACCAATGATTCTTCTCAGTACGATATTCTTCGTCAAATCTTCCACTTTCTTCAAACTATGGAGCTGCCTATATTTTCCTCTCTTCAAGCTCAAAAGCGTTTTGTCAAGCGATCACTTTAATTCTTCTTGAAAGGAGACAGCATGTTCAAGCGTCGTCACTCTGCTCCTCCTCTCAAAGTCATCTTCAATCCTGACCTTTGACTTCACATCCTTACTGAAGCACATGAAAGGCTTGGTCACAGAGGAGTCAATGGTGTATTCTCTACAGTCAGAGAGCGCTTTTACTGGCCCCATATGTTACAAGATGTTAAGCATCATGTTCGCACCTGCCATGAATGCCAGATTCGAAGTGTACGCAAAAGTGAAGTCCCACTTACCATCTCATCACCTCCTACAATCTTCACCAAAGTCTATGTTGACATTATGCTCATGCCCAAGGCCAGAGGATATCAATATCTTGTTGCTGCAAGAGATGATCTGTCACTTGCTGCAGAAGGAAGAGCATTGAAGAAAGCATCAGCACATAGCCTTGCACGCTTTTTCTGGGAAGAAATCATCTGTCGCTATGGAGCTATAGGAGAAGTTGTCACAGATAATGGAAGCAAAGTTAAAGGAGCATTTGAAGAGCTTGTGGAACGTTACCAGATCCCTCATATTCGCATTTCTCCCTACAATTCCAAGGCAAATGGTGTTGTTGAGCGTGGACACTTCGTCATAAGGGAAGCACTTGTCAAGTCCTGTGAAGGGAATGTCGATTTATGGCCAACCAAGGTCCATCATGCCTTCTTTGCAGACAAGGTCACTACTCGTCATTCTACTGGATTCAGTCCTTTTTATCTGTTGCATGGAGTTGATCCAGTCCTATCATTCGATCTGACAGAAGCGACTTTCCTTGTTCATGGATTCCATACTGTAGTGTCAACAGAAGACCTCATTGCTCTGCGCATTCGTCAACTAGAAAGAGACAGGACGATTTGCAACAAGCTGCACTCACTATACGCAAAACTCGTCTCAGATCTAAAGCGCAGTTTGAGAAACTCTATGCACGAAGGATGTTCAAGAACAAATACCAGCCTGGAGAGCTTGTTCTAGTGCGGAATACTCAGGTTGAGAAAGAGCTGGATCGTAAAACAAAGCCTCGTTATAATGGCCCTTATGAAGTTGTGCGACATACTAAAGGAGGATTGTATGTTCTAAAAGAAATGGATGGATCAGTATCACGAAGAGGAATTGCAGCATTTTGCCTACTTCCCTATTTCAACCGCCACTTTATGCCCCTCTTGGACGAACTGGATGACCATGATAACGACCTAGATGAACCAGAAGACGAACCTGACCATGAGCATGACAACTCAGATGATGAAGATAACCATTAATGACTTACCTGTACAAATTTTATGCTGACAATGCTGCACTACTTTTCTTTATTTATAGCTACAAATCTCTCACGCAGTGGAGCTGGTCACATGGGCTGTGCCCCATGACATCATCAGCCACTGCTTCTATCAACTGTATAGTACACATATACAAATAACCTGTAGTAATATAAATACCCAATAGATCTAGGAGACTCCTCAGCAAGTCCTCCTGTTGTTTACCCACAACTAACTCAGTCCTATCCTAAGGGTAACCACTACCCTTACTACCTTTACAGCTTTGTCTGAGTTGTGCTCCAGAGTATACAAAGTGGAATTGGTCCGGTGAGTGGTTTGTTTGTGATTTTGACCCAAATGTTTTTGAGCCAGATGGCTTCTTTGGCTGCATGTGTGATAGCCACATATTTGGCCTCTGTGGTTGATAGTGTTATAATGGGTTGTGTCTTACTATTCCAGGAGATGACTCCACCATTGATCCTAAAAACATATCCTGATATAGAACATCTGTGGGAATGTGAGGCAAAGTCTACGTCCAAAAATCCAACCAAGCCTTCATTGGTTTGGCCTATGACCAATAAAACTCTTTGGTGGCTTTCAGGTATTGTAGTACTTGTTTTGCTGCCTCCCAGTGTGTTAGACCAAGATTTTGTAGGAAACAAGAGAGTGAAGATATTGAAAATGCAATATCTGGTTGAGTGCCAGTAGCAAGGTACATTAGAGACCCTATTGACTCTCTATAAGGTATGTTTTGCATTTTTATGACTTTGGCTTCAGATAATGGTGATTGTGTGTTGTCAAACAGCAGGCCTGGCTCAACTGGAGTTGATACTGGTTTGCAGTCTTCTGTTGAACCTTTTTAATATGGTTTCAATGTACACTTTTTGACCTAGAGATAAAGTGCAGGTTTTTCAATTTCAAAGAATGTGAATGCCGAGTAGCCAGTTGACCTGACCAAGGTCAGTGATTTCATATTTTCTCTTGATTCCTTCTTTAAATTCACTGACAGCCTTTGTAGTTTCACCAGCAATTAACATGTTGTTGACTGGTACTGCAACTACTAGGCTGTCAGTGTTACTATATTTGATGAAGAGAGCATGGTTGTGTTGTGACTTTGAGAATCCCAGGGTGGTAAACTTCTTGGTGAGCCTTGTATACCACTGCTTTCCCAACTGTTTCAGACCATAGAGACCTTTGTTTAGCTTGCATACAAGCCCTTGCTGCTCGGGTTTCAGGTAGTTTGGTGGAGGATACATGTATATATGTCCTCATCTAGTGTTGCATTAAGGTATACACTCTTAATATCTAAGTGGTGAGTTTCCCAGTTGTTTGCTGCTGCATGTGCGAGAACAAGTTGGTTGGTGGTCATGCAAGACACTGCTGAATATATCTTATTATAGTCTATACCATATATTTGCGTACTGCTATTCACTACTAATTGAATCTTGAATTTCAGGATCTCGTTGTTTGGTCCGCATTTGATTTGAGGAATATAGTAGCAGCGTATTATATTTGCGTGCAGCAGAGGTTTGACAAGGTCCCAGGTGCGTAGATTTTCTATTTGTTTTAACTCTTCCTCTATGGCCTTTAGCCAATTTTCTCTATATGGTCCCTTTAGCATTTCGGTCATCGTCAGATTGTCGCTAGCAGTTCCAGTGTTTGCAACTGTGGCTGCACTCCAAGTGCCAAGGTAAGTGCTGTTGCTGTTATTTTTGTTATCCAAGTCAGCTGACTCCTTGATGGCAGATGCAGCTGTGTTGCGGCCTTTGTGCAGTGCCTTGTGTAAAACCCTTGTCCCTTTAACCGAACTAACGGAGGGACGAAGGATCAAAATCAAACAAGTAGCGTTTCAAGTAGCGATTGAGAATTAATCGACAACTGAGGAAAGTATGTACATGATGGTTCTCTATATATACGTTTCTGAAGTTCAGCCATGAGGCGCTGACTGATCTTACATGCAGTAGCCATGAGGCGCTGACTGATGTTCTTTGTAATCGTTCTAGGCTCTTGTCACGTGATGGTCACGTGATCTGATGTAATCTATGTATTATGTCATCCACGCTTATAGCAGCAGCTTAACATATCTTATCTGTCATGTGATCAGATATCAAAAAGAAACTAGCGCTCAAATTAGCGCTTGTGGTTCAAGTCGTGACATTACCCCCTCCTTAGGACTTTTGTCCCAAAAGTAGGGATCCATCTTTCCGTTTTCCCAATTAAACAATTGTTTTCGGACTCTGGTCGTTGTGAAGTTTTCGAAGGGTTGGAAATGTAATTGGAATCGTATCCGTCGGGGTGCACTAGGGTTGTGGTCGTGGAATGTTTTTACTTTATCGGGTGAGTTGTTTAGGTGTTGTTCTGGTTCCCACGTGCGTTCCTCTTTTGGATAGTTCTTCCAGTGTACTAAATATTCCAATTTCCCTCTTTTCAGACGTGAATCTAGAACTTCTTCGACTTCATATTCTTCTTGTCCATCTACTATTACCGGCGGTATCGGTTTGGGTTTCTGTTGGGAAGGGAACTGTGGTTCTTTATATGGTGTAAGTTTAATCTTGTTGAAAACCGGATGAATAGGCCGCCATGTCGGTGGTAGCGCTAATTTATAGGCCAACTTGCCTATTTTTTCCAGTATCTCAAACGGACCGTGTCTCTTATTGTCCAGTTTCTTAGCTGGTCGATCTGTTGAGATATTGGTCGCTTCTACATACACCTTATCTCCAACTTTATATTCCATTGCTTCTCTCTTCTTCTTATCGTACTGCTTCTTCATCTGTTCAGCTGCTCTTTGCAGTGAACTTTCTGCTTTTTTCCTTGTCTCTGTCATTCTTTTTATGAAATCTTCCGCATTTTCGTTCTTTACCCCCACTTTCACTACTTCCTGTGTTCTCGGGTGATGTCCATGATTCAAGTAGAACGGACTATATCCCGTCGCAGAATGTTGTTTGTTATTGTAAGAAAATTCTGCTAGGGTAAGCCATTCTGCCCAATCATCCTGTTTATAGTTTACGAAGATTCTGAGATACTGTTCTATCTCTTGATTGATCCTCTCCGTTTGTCCATCTGTTTGTGGATGCCAAGCCGTTGATGGGTTTGCCTTTATCTGGAGAAGTGTATGCAGATCTTTCATAAATTTTGAAACGAATTGCGGTCCCCGATCCGAGATGATCTTTTTGGGTATGCCGTGGTTTCTGAATACGTGATCTCTAAATAGTTGTGCTACTCCTTCTGACATGATTTCCATCTGCGTGGGAATTACCTTGATCATTTTTGTGAATCAATCTACTACTACCATTATCATGTTATATCCATTTGATTCTGGTAGCGGTCAGATCAGATCTACTGATATGATCTGCCAAGGTTTATCCGGGATTTTGTTTGGATGAAGCGGTGCTGCTTTCTTTTTATGGTCTGTCTTGGCACTTCAGTCACCCCCAAAACATAAGCATTTAGCTTCAACTATCTGTGTAAATGTATAAAGCTAAGAGCTTGTTTTTCCTGGTATCATCCCAAGTGCTCCAGCAAGGATGGGATCATCCCAGAAGTGGGATAATACCACCCTTCTGGGATTTTCCCATGGTATCAGACCATTTGTTATGGTGGGATAATCCCATTAGATGGGATAATCCCAGACATTTGCCACATGTCACATGGTGTCAGGGGGGCTTTACTGCAAAAATAGTTCCTGCATAAATGTAGCCAACATCAATACATTATCAATAGTACTAATAGCCATGAAGCAGAATACAATACTACCTGCTTTCATCATTTATAACATATATACAAATTTCAAATGGTGTTTACTCTCAATTGAACCTTAATTTGTCCAGCTTCTAGTGTAATATCATATACTATAGATTGATGGAGGAGACTTTGACCAAAGGTTAGTGTAACTAATTGTGACATATAACCATTTACAAATTAACCTGATTTAATTCAGTTGATTAGGAGATAATTCAACCATATCTCTTTTCCTTAACTGACTATATAACTTTGTCATTCCTACTTATCATATAATTTACTGCATATCACAAAGTAGATTTATCTACCCTGGATTTCTATCAATGTTACTTAAAATGGCTTATAGTCAAAGGAATACAAGATGTTTGACAATACCAAGCATATACATCTGCAGGATTACAATACCTCTCATTCAGGCTCATCCAACTTTAAATAATGTAACACTCTTGCAACCAGGCAAAGATATGTCACAAATCCATTTAATGTGCTGATCCAAAAGATATGATATTTTTTTGAATTGTGCAGCTTTATCCAAGTGCCTGAACTGAAAAATGCACAAAGATACCAGTCCGAGTAAGTACTACATATTCATTATCCTTCCCTCTGCTGCATCATTGTCAAAGGCAGAACATGTCTTGCATGAGACAAATTGCTGGCTCTTTGTGGCAGCCCAGCATCCACAAGCCAACACCCATTTTATCCACTATATGTCCCCACGCATACAATTGATTATAAATTTTTGTGAAAACAAAAATGGCTGAAAGGTGTGCTCTGCATGCTTATGCAATTTCATGTGACTTGGGATGAACCTACGTGAGGGCTACTCTGAATCACTGTCCCAGTTCAACCTTAGGTTCATCCAGGTCCTACCATAACATAATAGTTGGTTTACAAACAAAATACTGCAACATGTAAAAAATGGAAACTGCTGGAAAAGGACAATAATATTTTAAGCTGCTGGGAACTTACCTATGATTATATGTTACAGAATAACCTTAGTGCATTTCAGGAGTATTTTCCCCTGTCATACTGAGTCACCAGCAGCCTAAGCATGCTATTCGATAATTCTGTTCCTGTTGTGGGATCTCCCTGTCCTATTCTGACTCAGGGTGATCTTGTTGTAACAACCAAGAGTTAGTTACTCTGGCGCACACAGGAGCACACTATAAAGGTAGTGAGAGATGGGGAGTGGGTACCCCTTGGGCTGCAGTGAGTTAGTTGGTATACAACAGGAGGACTCGCTGAGGAGTCTCCTGGATCTATTGGGGTATATATACTACTACAGGTTTGTTTGTACATGTGTACTATACAGTTGATGAAGGCAGTGGCTGATGATGTCATAGGGTCTAGCCCGTATGGCCAGCTCCACTGCGTGAGAGAGTTAAGTTCTAAAAGTAAAAGAAAGGCAACGCGGCGCGAGAAAGGGAAATGCCGCGTGGCACTTAAAGTTAAAGCGGAGAATAAAAGGAAAGGAGATGTCCGGAAATTGTGTTATCGTAACACTTGTCCCCTGCTTGGATTTGTCTGTGATGTAGTGAGATGATCCTATGTAATTTGGAGATTTTTCTAGATCAGATTGAACTGGAATGATCCCATCTCTTTCCAAGACTTTCCTTGGCTGGTTTGGGATGATGCTTTACCCTTCAGGCATTGGTCCATATCAAATTGTGATGATCCCATCCCATTTGGTATTTGTCCACATTTAACTGGGATCATCCCCTTTTTTGCTGGGATTTTCCCAGATTGGTTTGAGATGACCCTATCCCCCCTTGGTATTTGTCCATGTTGAACTGAGATTTTCCCAGATTGATTTGGGATCATCCCATCCTCTTTTGGTATTTGTCCATGTTGAGCTGGGATCATCCCATCTCTGGCTGGGATTTTCCCAGAGTAGATTGGGATCATCCCATCCTCTTTTGGTATCTGTCCATGTTGAGCTGGGATTGTCCCAACTCATTTGGTATTTGTCCATGTTTAACTGGGATCATCCTATCTCTTGTTGGGATTTTCCCAGATTGGTTTGGGATCATCCCATCCTCTTTTGGTATTTGTCCATGTTGAGCTGGGATCATCCCATCTCTGGCTGGGATTTTCCCAGAGTAGATTGGGATCATCCCATCCTCTTTTGGTATCTGTCCATGTTGAGCTGGGATTGTCCCAACTCATTTGGTATTTGTCCATGTTTAACTGGGATCATCCTATCTCTTGTTGGGATTTTCCCAGATTGGTTTGGGATCATCCCATCCTCTTTTGGTATTAGTCCATGTTGAGCTGGGATCATCCCATCTTATTTAGTATTTGTCCATGCTTAACTGGGATCATCCCATCCTTTGGTGGGATTTTCCCAGATTGGTTTGGGATCATCCCATCCTCTTTTGGTATTTGTCCATGTTGAGCTGGGATCATCCCATCTCTGGCTGGGATTTTCCCAGAGTGGATTGGGATCATCCCATCCTCTTTGGTATTTGTCCATGTTAAGCTGGGATTTTCCCAGATTCAATTGGGATCATCCCATCCTATTTTGGTATTTGTCCATGTTCAACTGGGATCATCCCATCTCTTACTGGGATTTTCCCAGATTCAATTGGGATCATCCCATCCTCTTTTGGTATTTGTCCATGTTAAACTGGTATCATCCCATCTCTTGCTGGGATTTTCCCAGATTCAATTGGGATCATCCCATCCTCTTTTGGTATTTGTCCATGCTTAACTGGGATCATCCCATATCATTTGGTATTTGTCCATGCTTAACTGGGATTTTCCCAGATTGGTTTGGGATCATCCCAGATTGGCTTGGGATTATCCCATCCTCTTGTGGTATTTGTCCACATTGAGCTGGGATCATCCCATCCCTTTATGGTATTTGTCCATATTGAACTGGGATGATCCCACCCCCTTCTGGTATTTGTCCATGTGAGAAGTGGGTAACCCCATGTTACGTGGGGACATGTACAGATTTAACTGGGATGATCACACCCTATTTCAGGGATTTGTCCAGATCAGTGTGGGATGATCCTCAGTAAAAAAAATCAAAAGTTGGGCAATGTCAATGGTCAGAATCAGTTTTGAAGGAAATTACCTGAGTTCTACATATTGCCATAAAAATGATAATCCAAAAAGAGTGGTGTGAGACAGCATCACTATCATATGAGAGACAGAGAATGTTGGCAGAAACCTTACTTGGCATGAAAAAATATTTTCCGGATTCATTTCAATTTCTCAAGAATCTCAAAAAAGAATACCTTTACAGCACTATACACAGTCAGCATATAGGCACCAGTCACCCCTTAGACCTTCAGCTGGTAGCTCCCAGAAATGGCACAACTCAAGGTATTAAATACCTAAGCAGTGCCTAATTAATCCTCACACTCAAGTCATCTAGTGTAGGAGTATCAAAATGGAGATCTTGTGTATTATACTGTACATAGCAAGCATCCCCCTCTCCCCATAGACCTTCAGCCAGCAGCCCCCAGGAACCACTCTCAGAGAATGTACAATATAAGGTATCAAATACCTTGGTAGTGCCACAAAAGTGGTAAATTCATGTTTTTGCAAGAACATGACTTTATATTTCTTTTTACTATGTTTTACTTTCTACAAGGTCAGGATTTTCCTCACAGAATATGCCAGATCTAGTGTAAATCTAATATTCGATGTCCTTCTGCAGATTACTTTGTTGTCACAGCATTTGTGTTGTGTTTCCTAGTTTTTACTTCAGTTAAGGGTATAATAAACCTTGCAAAAAAGCAGAACTCACATATCACATCTATCAGCAAGGACAACAGCATCTTTCTAGTGTATGATTCCTGCAATTGATTATATCTAGAAATTGATAATGTTCCACATTTAAAAAAAAGGGAATGCTTCTCCCCAAATTTGCAGTAAGCTACAATGAGGAACTTGTAACTCATATATTTCAAAATAGTCTTGATTATATTGGGCTAAAGTACCATTATTCAGGTGGAAAAGACTGGAAATATCTTCACTAGTTGGCCCAGCATTCTCACATGTTAGTATTAGCACCAATCCCCCTGATACCATGTGACATGTGACAGGTTATTGGGATTATCCCATCTGAGGGATAATCCCACTATGGTACATGGTCTGATACCATGGGAAAATCCCAGAAGAGTGGTATTATTCCGCTTCTGGGATGATCCCATCCTTGCTGGAGCACTTGGGATGATACCAGGAAAAACAAGCTCTTAGCTTTATACATTTACACAGATAGTTGAAGCTAAATGCTTATGTTTTGGGGGTGACTGAAGTGTCCCTCGGTGCGGAACTTTGCTTTATCTACCTCCATTCTTTCTCCGTTACCGGTATAGGTATACCCGGTTCCGTCTTTCTTCTTTTCTCCTTCCTTCTTTTGTTCCGAATAGGGTTTCTTCCCAATTTCGGAGCCTTTCTTTTCTCTTTCTCTCTCTCTCCAAATATAGTCTATCCTGATTAGTTCCCTTTTCCATTCCTGGTAATCTCTGGGAATGTGCCCGCCGTAGATCACCCTGTCTACTAGCGGTTTGTTCATATTCCTTCGGAGTAGGGATATCAGGAACTCTTCATTTATCCTATTCGTATATCCCGCCCATCGTTTCTTTTCCTCAAACCTTTCAAAGAAGGCTTGGGCGGTTTCATTGCCCTGTCTTAGGGTCAATATTTTGTTCTTGGCTGTTTCTTTTTCAAAGTTGTCTTTGAACCTTTCTTCCATTTTGTCTGCAAAGTACGGCCAACTTCCATATGTGTTTGTAATATCGAGCCCTAACTGTTGGGCGTCGACTCGGTTTTCTAGCCAATCGGTCCAAAAGGCCACGGCTTCTCCTTCTTTCATAAAAGATAGCACAAAGCTTATCTTTTTCCTGTCATCTTTAAAGTATATGGCATCATCTTCGAAGTGTAGTAATAAGGACTCTCTAAAGGCCCTATACTTTTTCTTATCTCCGGAGAAGTTCTCGGGTTTCTCCAATGCCGTTCTACTTCTCTCCACCTTTTCTGGAGGTGGCGGTGTCTGCTTCTCTAGCTTTCTTTGCAAGACGTTCACTTCTTCGAGCGCCTCGTCTAGCTGCGATTGGTAGTGCATTTGTGTCTGTTTTACTGCTTTTTCTACTTCTTGTTTTACAAATGCTTCCAATTGCGCTTCTTTCAGGGGGGAGTGTCTATTCTGGGTAATGAGTCCATCATTTCCCTGGTAAATGCGCTGTCCGTGCTGTTGGATGGCTCGGGCAGATCTCAATATTCTAGGTTTGACATCAAATGTAAGTTGGGGAGGAGGGGGAGTTTCGGATTTGATTATTGGAGATGGGATTCTGATGGGTACTATTTCTGGTAGAGGGAATTGCCCTCTGTATACATAATCTTTGGAGTATATATGTTGTTCTCCGATCCAAATGTAAAAGTCTCTACTAAGCATAGAAAGGAGTTCACCAGTGATAAGCTGGATCGATACACCGCTTTCTAAGATCCTAGTAGTCTATCTTTTTCTCTTTGAGTCAAAGTGGTCCTCTTCAGCCCACTACTGACTGTGTATATATGGTAACTATTTTTTGTATTTTACGAATTTTATGTAAAAAGTATAGTAATAATTTGGGGTCCGAACGGTTGTCCCAAAGTGACCAGCTTATTAGGCTTTCAGTCCTTCTCCCGACTGGCGGACGCAAGTGCGCGGCCTGGTCAGAGGAAATTGAAAATGAAACTAGGTAAAGCCGAGAAAATCCCTTTGGTTCCACACCAAAGAGATTATGATGATATAAAAATGTATTTACAGGGGGATAGTGACAAACAAATCTTGGGATGAGGAGGGGGAGATGTTGGCGGGAAAGAAAGATAGGATAGTGTCGGGGCAAGTAGGAATGTTGTGAAGTGGGAGAGTGGTGGTGGTGTGGGTGGTGCGTCTGGATAGGTTTAGGATAATGAAAATGATGATGATGGTGACGACGATAGTGGTTAGGATAGCTGCTGTTATATTCATAAACGGTACTTGTAGGAGTTGTTGATTGTGTAAAACCCTTGTCCCCTTAACCAAACTAACGGAGGGACGAAGGATCAAAATCAAACAAGTAGCGTTTCAAGTAGCGATTGAGAATTAATCGACAACTGAGGAAAGTATGTACATGATGGTTCTCTATATATACGTTTCTGAAGTTCAGCCATGAGGCGCTGACTGATCTTACATGCAGTAGCCATGAGGCGCTGACTGATGTTCTTTGTAATCGTTCTAGGCTCTTGTCATGTGATGGTCACGTGATCTGATGTAATCTACGTATTATGTCATCCGCGCTTATAGCAGCAGCTTAACATATCTTATCTGTCATGTGATCAGATATCAAAAAGAAACTAGCGCTCAAATTAGCGCTTGTGGTTCAAGTCGTGACACCTTGTAGAAGCCCGCAGGCTTTGGTTCTCCTCTTCCCGGTTGTTCTCCAGGTGCAGGATCGGGTTCTAGAGGTTGAGGAGGGTCAAGGACAGCTGGATAAGGAGGCTGAAGGTCGTTTAGAGGTGGCTGGGCAACAGGATTGTGATGGATGCCATTTGGTTGGATTGGATGAGGCTATGGGTTGATTGGAGGCCAGTATAAGTGAATGGCTGCTGGTAAGTTGTCAATGGTTTCATTTTCAAGAGTTGCTAATCCAATCACTTTGTTTGTAGAGTCAGTTGTTAATTCTTCAAATATACGGCCATTGTTGTTTTTGGCATTTTGGGATGGGATAAGACGCTCCTGTGGATTAAAAATGATGTTGTATTTGACACTTATGGTGCGTAGTTCTGGCCAGTGTATTCTGTGCCCTTTTGACTCATCATCAAATCCAATCCATTTACCAGCCTTTGCATGTGGGTCTAATTTGCCTGTGTCAACGGTTTTGATATATGCTGTGCATCTAAATTCATGAATATCAGATAAATTTGGTATGCGGCCGTGAACTATTCTGTACAGTGTTTTGCCTTGTAATGCCTTGGTAGGGGCTTGGTTTTTGATCCAGACAGCAGGCCTAATAGCTTCACTCCACGGAGATTTAGGCATGTTTGCACCAAATAACATTGCACAAGCACATTCAATGAGTGTGCAGTTGAGGTGTTCTGATACGCTGTTCTGCTGGGGTAAGTCATGGATTGTTAATTCCCTGACAGTGCCTTGTTTTTGCAGGCGCGCATCAAAATTGAGGCTTGTGTATTCGCCTCTGTAATCAGACCTCAGGATCTTTATTTTACTGTGATCCTTTTACATATTGAGCCAGGCTTCAAAGTTTTTATACATCTTCCTTTCAAGTCTTGAACAATAGCCAGACCCCAGAGATCCGAATGGATTCTTTCTGCATAATGTTTAGCTCGAGTGTGGCTAGTTTTTGGGAAAGGTTTCCTTGTGGCCTTTGCTTGGACACATGTCTCACAGAAAGATATGGCCTTGGAACTATCCAGGACAATTCCTTCAGCTAGATTTGAATCAACGAGGTGCTTGAGTGATTTATAGGCTATATGGCCCATTCGCCGGTGCAGATCATTAATGGTCACTGTGCTGGCAAGGTATGCTCCTTTTTGTAATTTTTATAGACATTTGATATGTGATATAGGCTCTTTGTTTCTGGAATTTGAGCTATCATCCGGCAGCCAGGTGGGGGCAAGCGTATCTTGCATATGCCTCTGCCTATATGAATAGTATATCCTGCCTTGTCCATGTGACTAGCAGATATGAGTGTCAAGGCCATTGTAGGGCAGTGTAGCGTGTTTTTTAATATGACATGAGAGCACTGGTTTCCATTTGGTAGATTAACAGTGATGTCACCCTTGCCACGGGCGTACATTATATTGCCATTTGCAGCATTAATAGGTATAGGATTGATTGGCGTATATGATTGGAATCTGTGGTGATTGGAGCAGAAGTGGCCTGTTGCACCGCAGTCAATGATGGCTTCATAATCACTTATATGAGTTTCAGCTTTGTTTGCCGGAGTTGTAACCTGCAAGCTGACAGCAAATGCATATATCTTGTTGTCCTCATGTTTGGGAACAATTGTAGCTATATTTGCAGCGGCTGCAGTATCTGCTCCCTGTGCCGTCTGAGGAGGATTTACTTGATTGTCCCTAGGATTGGCCTTGTTTTTGGGGCCTTGACCTTCTTGGCCTCCACCAGATGCAAAGCACCTTTCAATCATTGTGTGACCAACTTTGACAGGACATTTAGGATTGATGCATTTGTATTGTTTGTTTCTTTTGGCCTTACAATCTTTCTAACTGGATTTGGCCATCATGGCTGTTTTGGACTTGGCTTGAGCAGAGATTGCTCAAGTGTCTGCTTCTTCGGTTACATGAGCAATTATATCCATTGTTAAAAGCTGGTTTTTTGGATATGCAAGTAGCGGCTAGGATTGATGAGAGTAGTGGACAATAAGAATGTGGGAGGGAAGATAGCATCATAGCAAAGAAGTCCTTCTCTTGACTGTTGCTCCCATGCCTGCTAATTGCTCTCAGAGCTTAGTATGTCTCCTATATAACTTCAGACATTTGTAGATTCAGTGCATTTCATATTTTGTAAGTAGCGCCTGATGTTAATCTGCATCATCTCCATTTTGCCTTCATGTATGTGGCAAATGATAAACCATATAGCTGCTGAACTCTTGTCCTGGACTTGGATAAGAGTTTTGTTGTGAACAGTAGAAAATAATTGCTGGATGATGAGACATTCTTTCTGAGTGTATTCATCAATCTTAGTTTCATAGGTTTCTATGTCTTCTTCTTTAAGGGTAGTGCCATCAGTTTTTGTAGCTATGCTATTAGAATCCCTGGTATATTCAAGAGGATCTGGCTTTTGTGCAGTTCCAGACAAGTGTCTGATTAGACCTCAGGCAATAACCACAGCTATATGAGACTTGTATGTAACCCAATTGGAGCCATCCTTGGCCAGTGTGGGTACAGTGAATATCGAGGCTGTAAAAAACATTTTGAGTGAGCTGGCAGAGCTTATAACCTGTGAGGCTATGAGAAGACTAATAGAGAGTTTTTCTCAGTCTTATAATTGAGAGACTGAGGTTTGTGTAATGAGGTTTGTATAATGTAGAATGCTACGAGGATGGCAAGTGTGCAAAAATTGCATGTAACATATGCTGGCTTGTAATAGTGGACAAGCATAAGATACAAGACACAGAAGATGTCACACAAAACAAGAGAGTGACAGCACGTACTCAGGAAATGATTGAAAGTGACAGTAAGTAGGACTATTTGCGCTATTGTTACAATAACACAATTTTTGGACCTTTCCTTTAATTTTCATTCTTTGCTTTAACCTTTTTACTATAGTTCATGCTCTGTGCCATGCGGCGGCACTTTCTTTTTTGTTCTCGTTGTCATGCACCAAAACTGATTGGTAGCATGGACAGGTGTCAATAACGAAGTGAATATTTGAAAAGACTCGCCTTTGCGCCACACAGGCACAGTGCCACGTGGAATAGTAATTAATATTGCCTGTTTCAAACTTGTGGCTGATCAGCACCACCTCTATTAGGCAATCCAGTCACGCTCACCTTTGCTTTTCCATCCGGTACTTTCCGCATTTCGGCATTTCGGCAAATTTTTGCGTTGCCACTGGCTACACATTGCATTGCGCCCTTGCTTTTGTTGTTTCCCTTACTCCCCTTCCTTTGCCTAGCCCCACCATGGGCCCCTTCCTCTCCTTTTTATTCTCACCCGACGGTCATTTCTGGATCCCCATTCTAGTCCACTTATTCGTCACCTCCACCCTCCTCCTCCTCATATTATTTGCACCCTCACCATTTCTGATGTCACCACTTCCTATCCGCTTCCATCGCCAATCCATTGACTACCACGTGCCACTGCTGATATCAGCAAAGCCCCGGCGGCCGGTCCAAATAGGGCAACAGGTCTATCTTCATGACATCAATCTGCCATCACATACTATCAAAACATCGGTCACTCGTCTTGCCTGGTTGGAGCGTGGGTGGGTAGTTTTTGAGCTGGAGAAGGTTCATCCCCTTGCGTCGCCCATGTTCATCGCTGTCCCATTCACTTGGGTACACTTATCTTTTGTCCATCGTCTTCGCTACAGCTACACCTACCACACGCTGCCTGGGACTCACTTGTTCCAAATTGGAACTACTCCTCTCCCTCCCTTGTTTGATCAGGTGGTCCAACACAACCAGTCCATTGGTAAGGCCATGGAACTGTCGGATTTGGATTAGGTGGTGGACCGGTGGCTCCAGTTTCTTTTTTTTCAGCAGAACATTCATTTACAGTGCGATTATTTTTGATTTTTGAATCATTTTTATGGACACATATTTTTTTAGAATGCCTGACTGACAATAAAGGAACTGTGTTGATACTGATAGTGTTTTTCCTTGCCCTTTTTTTACTGCATCTTCCCATGACATCATTATTTTCCTGCTCTCTTTTTGCTATTGGACTTTACTTTATGGCTGTACAAACCTGTAACATTACTCACAGCATTCATTGTTCTATCCCTTTCTTTCCCTTATTTTGATGATCTTATCCTGTAGCAACTACGCAGGATTCGTCAGCGTACATTCCTTCCTTCATGTTCTTTCTCATTCTTTTTGCGCAGCTATACTGTGCATAGCCTACCTTTCTTTTCACTATGTAAACCCCTGTATTTTACCTTGTAAAAACAACAAAAGAACTCAATTCCAGACTTCTTCTCTAAATCTCAAGTTCACTACTCTGCTACTTGTGATCCAGTGTGGTCACAATACTTCCCACTGCTACCACTGCTATCTGCTGTCATTGTCACTCGTCATTTTTGAAAGTCACTGTCATCCCTTTCGATTAGAGTCCTTCTGAGCACTACAGTTTGTGCGTCAGGAGCCTGCTATCACTGGGAACTTTGTCACCTCGTCATCTTTGTCATTCTCAAACCTACCTTGTGCTACAATTAGCAAGGTAGTGCTCGTCTATACTTGTCACAAAGCCCCCATCTTCTATAAATTCAACTATCCCTCCTCCTCAAAACCCACACCCATACCTCTCTGGGTTTTACTTTGAAGGACTTTCATACATACCACCCCACAAACAACCAGACCACTCCACTGTTCTAGGAGGCAAAGCCCATAAACAAGTTCCGTGGAATCTGGGAGGATTGTTTGTTAGTTTGTTTTTGTGTGTGGTTTTCTAACAACAGTTCTCATCATCGACACCGGTCCGTCTGTTGAGGACTAAGTACTATAATAGGTACTGTGAATGCGAGAGGAATGGAAGTGTATGTGAAGGAAATGAGTCATCAGTCCAATGGTATAACCAATGAGTAAAAAGAAATGAGTAGTCCTGAAATGTCCAATAGAGATCGTAACATTACCCCCTTACTTGCTCCGAGTTTCACCAAAATTTGGTACCTTTGCCGTCCATATTGTAACTGTCGTCATAGCTGACATCTCCATGTAATCCTTCCATCAGGATCCTATCCTTGTCTTCCCTGCAGATGGGACACCAATTGAAACTATGTCCCGGTGCACAACGGTCACAGTTGGGACAATAGTAGGCTTCGCAATAGTACGTGCAATGATCGCTCCAACCGCAGTATAGAGCGTTGTTACAAACACCTTTGTGGTATCTTTGTTGGGTATTAGATGAGGTGTTGGATTGGGGAGTGGTGTCACGACTTGAACCAGAAGCGCTAGTTTAAGCGCTAGTTTCTTTTTTCATTTTCTTTGACAATCTGATCACATGACAGATAAGATATGTTAAGCTGCTGCTATGAGCGCGGATAACATAATACGTAGATTACATCAGATCACGTGACCATCACGTGACAAGAGCCTAGAACAATTACAAAGAACATCAGTCAGCGCCTCATGGCTACTGCATGTAAGATCAGTCAGCGCCTCATGGCTGAACTTCAGAAATGTATATATAGAGAACCATCATGTACATACTTTCCTCAGTTGTTGATTAATTCTTAATTGTCTACTTGAACGCTAATTGTTTGATTTAACCTTCGTCCCTCCGTTAGTTTGGTTAAGGGGATAAGGGTTTCACAAGTGGTTGGATCGTCATCTCCTAGGTTATACGTTCCTGCATACAACTGATCAATCATGGCTGCGTCGTTGTCTACGTTGATTGGGTTAGAGGGAGAGCCAGTTTCAGGCCTGTGCATTGCGCCAGACGGACTGTCTTTCTTTCCCTTGGACATACGAGACTGCCGCTTTGATGGAGTTCTGGCGGCGGGGATCTGGAGTATCACCTCTTGCCGGCTGTGTCGGGCTCCTTGTCAGTTTGTCAGGCAATGGGTTTGGGCGTTTGGCACTGGTCGAGGTGGAGATGATGGGGGAGATGGTGGTTTTGGGTTCAACCCAATGGAACGGGGACTGGAGTGGTTCAACCCTTGTGAGATTGGGCTGGTTGGGACGGTGGGAATATATTTTTCCTCCGACAGGATGGGTGGAGGTCAACGGGTGATGATGTGGTAAGTGCGCTCCGGGGTAACACTGGTCTGGTCTGGGTGCGACGGGGACTGGAGGGACAAACCGGTGTCGATGGTGAGAACTGCTGTTAGAAAACCACACACAAAACAAACTAACACACAATCCTCCTAGATTCCACGGAACTTGTTTATGGGCTTTGCCTCCTAGAACAGTGGAGTGGTTTGGTTGTTCGTGGGGTGGTACGTATAAAGATCCTTCAAAGTAAAACCCAGAGATGTATGGGTGTGGGTTTTGAGGAGGAGGGATAGTTGGAATAAAGAAAGATAGGGGGGTTTGTGGCGAGTATAGACGAGCACTACCTTGCTAATTGTAGCACAAGGTAGGTTTGAGAACGACAAAGATGACGAGGTGACAAAGTTCCCAGTGATAGCAGGCTCCTGACGCACAAACTGTAGTGCTCAGAAGGACTCTAATCGAAAGGGATGACAGTGACTTTCAAAAATGACGAGTGACAATGACAGCAGATAGCAGTGGTAGCAGTGGGAAGTATTGTGACCACACTGGATCACAAGTAGCAGAGTAGTGAACTTGAGATTTAGAGAAGAAGTCTGGAATTGAGTTCTTTTGTTGTTTTTACAAGGTAAAATACAGGGGTTTACATAGTGAAAAGAAAGGTAGGCTATGCACAGTATAGCTGCGCAAAAAGAATGAGAAAGAACATGAAGGAAGGAATGTACGCTGACGAATCCTGCGTAGTTGCTACAGGATAAGATCATCAAAATAAGGGAAAGAAAGGGATAGAACAATGAATGCTGTGAGTAATGTTACAGGTTTGTACAGCCATAAAGTAAAGTCCAATAGCAAAAAGAGAGCAGGAAAATAATGATGTCATGGGAAGATGCAGTAAAAAAAGGGCAAGGAAAAACACTATCAGTATCAACACAGTTCCTTTATTGTCAGTCAGGCATTCTAAAAAAATATGTGTCCATAAAAATGATTCAAAAATCAAAAATAATCGCACTGTAAATGAATGTTCTGCTGAAAAAAAAGAAACTGGAGCCACCGGTCCACCACCTAATCCAAATCCGACAGTTCCATGGCCTTACCAATGGACTGGTTGTGTTGGACCACCTGATCAAACAAGGGAGGGAGAGGAGTAGTTCCAATTTGGAACAAGTGAGTCCCAGGCAGCGTGTGGTAGGTGTAGCTGTAGCGAAGACGATGGACAAAAGATAAGTGTACCCAAGTGAATGGGACAGCGATGAACATGGGCGACGCAAGGGGATGAACCTTCTCCAGCTCAAAAACTACCCACCCACGCTCCAACCAGGCAAGACGAGTGACCGATGTTTTGATAGTATGTGATGGCAGATTGATGTCATGAAGATAGACCTGTTGCCCTATTTGGACCGGCCGCCGGGGCTTTGCTGATATCAGCAGTGGCACGTGGTAGTCAATGGATTGGCGATGGAAGCGGATAGGAAGTGGTGACATCAGAAATGGTGAGGGTGCAAATAATATGAGGAGGAGGAGGGTGGAGGTGACGAATAAGTGGACTAGAATGGGGATCCAGAAATGACCGTCGGGTGAGAATAAAAAGGAGAGGAAGGGGCCCATGGTGGGGCTAGGCAAAGGAAGGGGAGTAAGGGAAACAACAAAAGCAAGGGCGCAATGCAATGTGTAGCCAGTGGCAACGCAAAAATTTGCCGAAATGCCGAAACACGGAAAGTACCGGATGGAAAAGCAAAGGTGAGCGTGACTGGATTGCCTAATAGAGGTGGTGCTGATTAGCCACAAGTTCAAAACAGGCAATATTAATTGCTATTCCACGTGGCACTGTGCCTGTGCGGCGCAAAGGCGAGTCTTTTCAAATATTTGCTTCGTTATTGACACTTGTCCATGCTACCAATCAATTTTGATGCATAACAGCGTGACTGTGCTGCAAAATCCCTGATATTCCAAAAGTCTCTCCTACAGTTTCCAAACTCCTTCCAGACAACGTCAACCTCACTGCTCGTGACTGTTGAGATATTTTGGCTACTCATTTCCATTGCAGCAACTCCTCATTGCAATTTGAACTGTGCTCTTGTATGTCTTTACTTTGCATGAAGGATCTTGATGATGCTGAACATTTTTGTTCTGAGTGGAGAGACATCACTCAATGTTTCTCCAACTTATCCACTGATTCTTTATCAGACAAAGAGGCCATTTTTAATTTCATGGGGGGACTTCTTGCCGTTTCAGTGTGGGGCACTTTCAAATCCCATTGTACTTGTTCCCTCCAACACCTTATGTTAGTTTTGGTGATTCTGCATCTTTGTGCTACCTATATATTTTCATTCCTTTCTCTATCTATTCTTCTATCATTCACTATTGATTGTGTTCTCTATTATTTCGCCTTTGTGGCTGCTTTGTTTATCTTTGTTTACAAAACTTCGGACAGTACTGCAGAGTCCAATGCTTCCTATTCTCTAGTTACTCACATTGGACTCTAGTTCCTGTCCCTGATTGCTTTCAGCAAGTGGCTAGACACTTCCTTCAAGCTTTGTTCTTAATACCTTACTCATGGCATTGTGGACATTGGGGGAGTATCTACTCCTTTCATTGTCCCAGCCATAGACCCTTCTTTCAATCAGGTCCTCACTGCCTTCAGCGTTGAAGCCACCTGTTACGATAACACAATTTTCAGACCTTTCCTTCATTTTCATTCTCTGCTTTAACCTTGTGTACTTTAGCTTTCACACAGGGTGCCACGCGGCACTTCCCCTTTTGTTCAAACTCCTCTTTCTCATGCCGCGTTGCCTTCTTCTTATTTTTAGATACAACTCTCTCACACAGTGGAGCTGGTCATGCGGGCTAGGACCCATGACATCATCAGCCACTATCTTTATCAACTGTATAGTACATAAGTACAAACAACTCTGTATTAGTATATATACCCCAATAGATCCAGGAGACTCCCCAGTGAGTCCTCCTGTCTCACTGCAGCCTAGGGGGTAATCACCCCCATCATCTTCTTTATAGTGTGTTTCTGTGTGCGCCAGAGTAAGTCACTCTTGGTTGTTACACCACCCGTCTCAAGGTAAACAATTGTACCACCATTTGTAACAACCAAGAGTTAGTTACTCTGGTGCACACAGGAACACACTATAAATGTTACACACAAAGTGCTTAACAAAGTCTGAGGGTTTGTCGAGGTTTTATAAAGAGACTTATCTGAAGACAAGTTCGAGAACGTAGTTCTGAGTGGAGGTTTTCCAACGAGAGTTGGTCTTCTTCTGAGTAGAAGTCTGATTTTAGGAGTCTAGCTTTGTAAGCGTAAACTGCGTAGAATTGTATTGGAGAATACTACTGCTTGTTACATGGTATTTATAATGGAAAGGAATTGGTGATAGCAGTTAGGTCCTATCTAGGGCAGGTCTGTCTGTTGAGGACTAAGTACTATAATAGGTACTGTGAATGCGAGAGGAACGGAAGTGTATGTGAAGGAAATGAGTCATTGGTCCAATGGTATAACCAATGAGTAAAAAGAAATGAGTAGTCTTTAAATGTCCAATAGAGATTGTAATAATGAAGGTAGTGAATGGGGAGTGGTTACCCTTTAGGCTGCAGAGAGTTTGTTGGTTAACAATAGGAGGACTTGCTGAGGAGTCTCCTTAATCTATTGGGGTATTTATACTAATACAGAGTGTTTGTACCTATGTACTGTACAGTTGATAAAAGCAGTGGCTGATGATGTCAGAGGGCACAGCCCATGTGACCAGCTCCACTGCGTGAGAGACTTGTGTCTAAAAGAAGAATAAAAGCAGTGTTGCACAAGAAAGTGGAGTTAGAACGAAAAGGAAAGTGCTGCATGGCACGGAGTGTGAACTATAGTAAAAAGGTTAAAGCAGAGAATGAAAATTGAAGGAAAGGTCCAAAAATTGTGTTATCGTAACACCATTCTGTACCAGAATTTGCTCATGCCAGGATCACACAGACCTCCAAGTTGCACCTTCCCCCTTCCCATGTACACAAAAACAATCCCTTGGGTCTCCCTTGCTTGAACCCAGCCTGTGCCTCAAATCCTCATTGCAACAGTCATGATCTGTCCCACTGTTATTAAACTGGTGGTGGCATGGTGGGTCAGGCCCCCTGGCTTGAATGTCTGGTTGCCCCTCTCCCAGCTCCCCCCGTTGTTCCGCCCCCCATTGTTGCTCAATTGGCTGTTACTTCTTCCCCAGCCTTTCTGTTGCACTTTGGAGACCTATCTTGTGCCCTCACTGATGCTCCCCTTCCTTCTTTGGGCTGTTTCACCACTATTCTTGACTCCAGCACCACTTTCACTCTTATCATGGATTGCTCAATCTTCCGGTCTTACACTGCCGACCCCTCCATCTCCATTTAAACCGCCAATCAAGGGACCCTCAACTCCGCTGGTTGTGGTGACTACCTGGCTGTTCTTACTTTGAATGGCTCTTGGCACCAACTACGCCTTTGTGATTGCATTCATGCCCCCAGCGCTCTCATGAACCTTGTCCCCATGGGTCATTTATTGAGCAAGGGCTGGTCCTGCGTCTTTCAGGGTTCTCCCAGTCACTGCATCCTTTCCTATTGCTCTTCCACTCTCGGCTCTATTCCCATGTCTAACAATCTCTTTTACATGGACCTCAACTTTATCCCCCCCTCTTCCACATATGTCATTTGTGCCAGCCCCACCAACATCACTGCTTTTGTGCATGTTGTCCAAACACACAATTTATGGCATGCTCAACTCGGTCACATTGGTGGTTCGGCCATCTTGCGCCTTCCTCATTTTTCTGCTGACGCAGTTGTTTCCTCCTCCTCTCCACTTTCCTCTTGTGAAGCCTGCATCTTAGCCAAACATCCCTGCCAACCACATCCACCATCCCCTTCTCCCCCTGCTTCCCACCTCCTTGACCTAATTTATACCAATCTTTGTGGTCCTTTCCCGGTTGCCACTCCACATGGCAAGCTGTACTTCCTCATCTTTCTTGATGACCACAGCAACTGGCTTTGGCTCTACCTCCTTGGTTCCAAGGGCAAGACTCTCTCAGAGTGGATAGCTTTTTGTGCCCCTGTTGAGAAGCAAACGGGGCATTCCATCAAAATCCTGTGCTCCGATAATGGTGGGGAATTCACTAGATCTGCTTTTCAACAGGCCCTGCATGACAGTGGGATTGTTCACCAACTTTTGGCAGGAATACTCCCATCAGCAAAACAGCAAGCTATGTGGACCGTCAAAGGTTGTCTTCTCACTCTCTTGAAAGGTGGGGGCCTTCCCCCCACGTACTGGGGGGAGGCTGCTCTTACTGTCTGTTGTTACCTGTGGAATCTCACTAAGTTATGCACTCTTTTTCCTGGTCAGACTCCTCATGAGACTGTTCACGGTCAGAAACCAGATGTCTCCCAACTCCACATTTTTGGCAGTCGCTGCTACGCCCGCATTCCTCCCAAACTTTGTCCTAAACTCGGTGCTCAGTCTTGTGTTACCCTGTTTATGGGATATCCACTTGACATGAAGGCTTACTGCTTGCACGACATCTTGTCGGGGACTTTTTTCAACTCCCGTGGTGTTGTCTTCAACAAAAACCCTTTATCTTGTATTTTTTCATGCCCCTCCTCCACTTCCTCCTCTTCTGATGATGACTTTTCTTCTTCTCCCTCTTCCATTCCTTCTTCCCCTCTTGCCACACGTCAAATTCCATCCCCTCTAGTCCCTCATTCTCCTCCTACTCCTTTCTGTTCCACTTGTATCCGCACTTGCACTCAGGCCGGCCTTGACTTTGATTCCTTTATTGCAGCCTCCAAACTTGCCCATCTTTCTCATCTCTCTTCCAATCACATTGTGGATCCTGCCCCACCTCCTCCTTTTCTTGAGGAACCTCTCAACGGTACTCCAGACAATGCTCTTGCCTCTTTGCTCATAGCCAAATACACACACATCACCATTTGTAGTAACACTCGGCGCAATCCCCTGGCAGCCAGCTACAATCTTTGCTTGCCTCCAGTAACCTATCTAATAAAACTAAGTGAAACTCAGTCACTGCCTGAGAGGCTATAGAAACGACTTTATTATTTACCTATGTGAAACTACAATTGATGTTAGTTTAAGGTGATCTCTAATAAATGTAATGTAACATACCTCAGCCGCTGCCCAAGAGGCTATAGAAATAACTGAGGTATTCCTATACTAAACCCCTACTACTTATAGTCGGAGGTGCTACTCGCTACAGTATAATGACTCCTAGGAGAACAATGGTGACTCCATGGAGTGGTGGCTATGCTCCATGGAGAACAATGGCTGCTTCAGCAGAGACCGAGTTTATCCGGTTTTGTCACTATCATGAGGCCCTTCTGTGTCCCACTTGGCTCAGTGCCATGGAAAAGGAACTTGCCACCATGAAATCCATGAAAATTTACAGTGTTGTTCCTTTGCCTCTGGATCACAAGGCAGTTGGTTGCTGCTGGGTCTTGAAATTCAAAGAGGATCTCAAGGGCAGGCCCGTCTCCAAGGCTCAACTCATCACGCAGGGATTCTGTTACGCTTGTGATGATGTACAAGCTTGGTAACAAAGGAGTTTCTGGGTTTGTTATGCTTGTGATGTACAAGCCTGGTAACAACGGGGTTTCTGGATTTGGGACGTGGTTTCTGATAAGCCCGTAGATTACAGGTTTGAGACGTATTCTGAAATAGCTGAGGGGTTTCTGTATGAATACCAAGTTGTACTGTTGAAGTGTACATTGTATTGAAGACGTAACTACAATACAAGTGGCTATATATACTGTCCTACTTTAGGGTAGGCATTTGTGTTGAACAAACAACGACGGGTGAGAAACCATAACAGGTAACATAGTGTGGGAGATAGTAATGAGTCATGGTAAGTACCTACTCAGAGAAGAAATAAAGTCTGTGAAAGTCATAGTTTGTAACAGATTCACTCAGATCCCCAGTGTTGACTATGGGCAAACCTTTGCCCCAGTTGTTAAAATTGCTTCTGTATGTATCAGATTCACTCAGATCCCCGGTGTTGACTATGGGCAAACCTTTGCCCCAGTTGTTAAAATTGCTTCTGTATGTATTATTGCCGCTCTCGCCTGCATTAACAACTGGGAACTAGATACTTCCGATGCGACTCGGGCCTTCTTATGGGGCAAACTGCGTGAGAAAATAAATCTACATGCGACACCCAATTGGGTTTGAAGAAGGGGCCGAAGGGTCCTCTGCTCCTCTGGTTTGGCGCATGCACAACTCCATTTATGGATTAAAACAGTCCGCCTGTGAATGGTATGACCAAGTCAAAAGTGTCATGTTTTCCCTTCACTTCATGCATTGTCCCGTCGATCACGCTGTCTTCCTATATTGCAAAACTGACTCGACAGGTCGTTCCGTTATCTGCATCATTGGCTGGCATGTCAATGATGGACTCGGCGCCTCCAACGACGTTGCTTTTCTACACATGGTTAAAGCTCGCATCGCTGAACGTTTTGGCATCAAGGACTTTGGTCCCGTCACAAAATTCATCGGCATCCAATTCAAACGCAATCGCGACGCTCATTGTCTTTGGCTCCATCAGTCTGATTATATCATTTTTCTTCTTTCAGAGTATGGCCTCACAAACTGCAATCCCATCGGTATCCCCATGGACCCATCTCACCCATTTGGCTTCCCCACTGATGTATACGAAGAAATCCCCGACATCAATCACGCCTATTGCAAGCTCGTGGGAGAACTCCTCTGCACCAGGCCCAACATAGTGTTCGCTGTCCACAGGCTCTCCCAGTTCAACGTTAATCCCCAATTGTGTCACTACGCTGCAGGCAAATGTGTCCTTCACTACCTCAACGGCTCCGTCAATCTTCGTTCGGCCTATGGGGGAAATCCCAATCCCTCACAAAATCAACTCTGCGGATACTGCAACGCTGACTGGGCAACCATACCGGAGGATCAACTATCCATATCAGGTTTCATTTGGCTTTTTGCAGGGGGGGTTGTCGCACACGCTGCCAAAAAGCAGGCGACACATGCGCTCTCATCCACAGAAGCCGAATACATGGCCATCACCCTCGCTGTTCAAGAGGGACTCTGGATTAATTCCTTCTTTTTATTTCTCCTTTTTCCTCTAATTAAACCTACTACCCTTCACATAGACAATACCGGAGCTATTTCACTTTCAAAAGAAGCTTCGAATCATTCTCACTCAAAACACATAGACGTCAAATTTCATTTCATTAGAGAACACATAGACTCCGGCCTTTTTTTACCCTCTTGGATTTCGACACACGATAATGTCGCCGACATATTCACCAAGGCTTTGCCCCGTCTCTCTTTTACGCGCCATCTTTCCGGCCTCTCCCTGTTATGTCGTTGGGGGTGTGTTGAGTTCCAAACGACAACTCGACAACTGCCTAGACTCTTGTTATTCGCACTCCGCATCTCTGGCATTCTCTATTGGTATTCTACATAAATATATATATACAGACCGTACTCGTAGTCAGGACCTCAGCAATTCTGTCCCCGCTGAGGTATGTTCGTCTTCTCCCTGTATACATAGAATTCTCCAATTGATAGTGATTCTGTCCCCGCTGAGTCATTTCGTGAACTCTCTACAGGAACGACTGTCTTCCTCCTAAATGGTATGCCTAGGGGAGACTACAGAGGTTGTGACATTCGGACAAATACATGTATCAATCTCTCAGCTGATCGAATTCGAGGATACAGCTTGGATACAGGTAGAGGAGAGGTTTTTGCTACGAGGTTTAAATGAGGAACTCGAGCTATATGATCTAGTTAGTCTGGATGCTCCTGGTGAGTTAGATGAGTCTTTGGACATGGACACTTTCGAGGAGTCTGTGCTGACTTCGGCACCATGATTTTTGGGATATAATTTATGTATTTCATGTAATATAGATACACACTATCTGTATAAATATGCCCTCTTCGCTTTTTCAAAACCCTTGCCTCTGAATGCTCATTATTTTGAACTGCAACTGTTGACACTGCTGCTCGAATGTCCTGCAGGGTGAGACCGGAGTTGCTCGGGATCTTTCGGTGCCATAGGTACCTTGGGCCTTGCCATCGTTGTCTGGGGGTGCCCTAGTGCCAACGGCGGTACCCAAGGCACTTCCACCACTGCCTGGCCATCCTCTCGATAGTGAGCCTCCATACAAAGCTTGTGAATTGAGACCTGGTAACCTACGATACCAGGAATGTCATGGTAAAAGAGTCCATACGAAACCAGCATTAAAAGTGCCATTCCTTGTGTACTTAAGTACTCATCTTATCAAATTGTATATGTAACACAGACTGTATAATAAAAACTACCCTAATTAATCCCTTTTGTGGGCTTTGCACTTCTAGTGTGATAAAAAGCTAATGCATGGTCCACAGCGTCAAGAATGGGCTTCATTGCCTGATGAATACATTAAACCACAGAAAAACATTCTGAACGGTAGCAAACTCACGACCTGGACGCGAATTGAGTCTACACCTTCTACCTGTGCAGTTCTGACGAGAGCATCGACTTTTTCGTGTGTCTTACCCAAATAGCCAGCCATTTTAGCGGCCTTTGTTGCCTTCTGTGCAGGTGTGGCGGGAGCTATCGTCTGCGTTTCCGTCGAGGGAGGATAAATGGCAGACCAGAACTGACGTAAAAATTCATTGGCAGCGGTTTGACACGTCGTTAGTTGTATGAAAAGGTCAGGAGGCATTTCATCTGAAATATAAGGGTTAGGCGCCAGCGACACAAACAAAGTGAAAATCTTGACTCTTCTTGGATTTTACATCTAATCGCGAAGCAACGTTTTGCGTCATTGAGAGAAGGGCAGCATCGCCGGGTTTACGCTCAAGCTTAAGCTAAACATGTAAGCTGCTTCAGAGAGCAAGACATATAACAACAGAAGGGAGAGACTGGCCTGGTTGAGATTATATTCCCAGCTCACTAAACTATCTCGTGCTTCCTTAAATATTGGCCGAACATCAAAGGCCTATCGATAGTTGTGTCAACAGACGATCGAGTGCGTCACAGCAAATCCTTACCTTCTTCCTTGCATCTTCCACAGCGGCTGCACTTGCCATCTGGCCTTCGAAATACCGCTGACGATCTTGCATTTCCAAAATAATACCAACCGACGTCTCGGGATCATGCAAGTCGTCGAGGTCTAGTTGACCATAAGCATCCTAACAATGCATTACCATGATAACCACTGAATTCTTGTGTTATAAAGGCACACACGTTTCCGCCATCATTTCCATTCACACGTCGCCGCTTAGCTGGAGGTTTGTCACCTCTATCGGAAAAGGTTATAGCCGTTGGTCATGAAATATTTTTGATACTTACAATGCAGAGTTTAACAATCTCTCAGAATGTTCGTTGAATTTTCGAATGAGGGGAAGGGCACCACGCTGTCTACCCGGCTGCATAGTGATGTCCCTTTCGTTACCAGTCTGTAAAGATTTCGAATCAGTTTGCGTGCAACGGGGTTATAGACGGGAGTAATAACCTCTCCATGGTCCTCCAGCGTGGCACCAAGATTAATAAACAGATCGGAAACCTCGTCCCTTGCACGCCGAGGCTCCAACTCTAAAAAAAAGATAAAATTTAAATAGTAAAAATATTATATGACTAGGACACACCATCATCATCCTTTTCCAAATACTTATCAAATATTGGGTCTTCTTTAACGACGTGCTGAGCAGCCGACGAACGAATAGATGCACGGTGGGCATTGAACAGCTTGGATTGAAAATAGCGCTTCCAGAAATCCGCCTCGGACAGCTTGATTTTCAACAAGACTTAACAAATCGTAAGATATGCATAGTTGGTATGAACAGCATACTTTATTTGGAACATTGTCGTTGTATGCCTTGGCTACGACGGGGAACTCTTCAAAAATGTCGTGTACAAGTTGTGGGGTAATGACAATCTTGATTTCACCACCCTCTACGGTTTGTGGACGAGGGTCTACTAGTTGACCAGGACGTCCTTTTCTCTGACTCTCAGTAGCTGATTCAGCTAGTAGAAGATGCTTTTATGCATAAGTATGTTAGAATTTGATGCTAGTGCATGACAAAGGCACTGTACTTCTCTGCCCTCCCAAAATTCAGCTTCTGTTATCTGACCACTCATGACTAGCTCTCGATGCAGGGATGCGAGTTCTGGGTTGCCCATAAGGACTTTCTTGCGAAGGCGGAAATCGCTGGCGGCATCTGTTCCAGGTAGTATGGGTGTTCTACGATCACTAGAGACTGAAGGGGCACGTGAAGTGGATGCTCGCGAGGCAGATGCAACAGCAACAGGAGGTCTAGGGGTAGGAGCTTTTGAAGGAGAGGCTGACGAAGCAGCGACTATGGGGGGAGGGGCTGCTGCTGGGTTCGCAATCGAATCGACTGTACTACGGTTGCGACTTATTATATTGGTAAGTTCTCTCTTGAAAGTCTCGCGCTCGGAGTATGCTACCGCCTGAGGGGCAGTGAACGTGAAATTATGACCGTTATCATCGTTTACAAGACCTAGTTTCAACCTGACCTGAGCAGCACCCTCCTTACTGCAGAACAGGGCTTTTTGTGATATAGTCGTCAGCAGTGTTGGCACCGCAGCTATCGCCACAGCAATTACTCAGAGACTTACATGTCGCCTCATGGTAAGGAACTCGCACTGAAGGAACCTTCTTTCCATCCTGTGACCATTGCAGATGTGTGTCGGTGAGTTCGAGTGTACCAGGAGCTTTCTTGTAGGAAGCTTTGGCCGTACACACGTTGGTAGGCATGCTCGGTGGCGCACTGAGGGAGGATGCGCGCGTTTACTACAAAAATTGCTCGCAGGATTTCCAAACACAGCAGCCTTGCTCTTTTCGGTCACCGAGGGCCGAGTTAGATTCATATCCGATCATGATGCCTCATGAAAATAAGAAAAAGCTTCACTAGAAACCACATCGACACCAGCATTCACAGCACAAGGACATGGCCTCCAATGTGGAAAGGCAACTGGTCGTTTTTGACTTTGACTGGTGAGCACAAAAAATATAGACCCGAGCTCTGCTAAGATATCTTGCCACAGGTCTATGGCTGACCAGGATACCGATCGATGGATTTTTGAAGTCCTTGCGCCAGATATTCGCAGAAAAATGAAAACTCTCAAGGATGACATCCAGTGGACTGACTTAATGTAAGAGCTAATGCTAGCCAGTTGTTGTGCCACTCGTTCATAGTATCAATGACAAGTGCTCAGTCGCTGGAAGAACTTCACGGTCGCGGGGCGACAAGAGAACAGATAGAACACACTCTCAAGATAATGCCCTTTGTATGTTTTTATCCTTACCCGTTTCTTCATTTAAACTCATCTACACGTACCCCTAGCACCCTGCAATGGTTCGAGGTGTAACAAAGCTCAAGGAAGCTTCGAATCCCACAACAACATTCTTCTGTCTATCAAATGCCAACTCCGTTTTCATATCCACGATCCTCGAGGTCTGTGCCTATTTTATGCTCGTTTTTGAAATATCGTCTAAAGCTGTCATTTATTCATCAGTCTAAAGGTCTCCAGGATCTCTTTGAAGAGATCGTTACAAATCCAGCCCACTTTGAGCCGTCAGGCCTTCTCAAACTTCGTAGAAGAGTAGACCCTGCCGGCCCACAGCACACCTGCCAAGTTGGCTGCAGTCCCAACATGTGCAAAGGTATGATATTGTGTCGGATCCTGTGTTTGATAATATGAACATGCTCCTCAGGCGAGGAACTGGAAGCCTTCCTGAAAAGACATCAGCCTGGCTTTGACCGCATCATCTACGTGGGTGATGGAACTAATGACTTCTGCCCTGTATTACGATTAAGAAGGCAACGCTTTCCCCTAAGTCTTGCTGTGTTTGATCTGATAATTTCTTCTTCTTCTTTTCGTCTTCCCAGTCAAGATATGGTTCTTTGTAGACGTTTCCGTGGCCTAGAACGCCGCATTGCGAAAGAAGGGGAGGTGGAAGGACTCAAATGTCAAGTAAAATATTGGGCTGGTGCTTGGGAAGTTGAAGAAATATTTGGGAATTTGTAATTCAAGGACCACCTTACCAACGTTTCGACATCAATGTTTCCCTCTATAGTTGGATATATAACCAAGCCAGAGTGGTTGAAACGGATATATACACATCCTTTTGTTGCCAGGAGACTACATTTGCGACAAGATACACAGTACTCGCTTGGACGTATGGCGTAGCCTCAAGATAAATTTAAGCTCTGTCATCAGATGAGAAAACAGAAATTGAATGCAGCAGAGACACATAAAGATGGCTGTAAATGGTGTTGGCAAGAATGAAAAAGTGGCTTAAAGGTTGAGAAAGGGATTCCAGAACAACAATGTATTGAGCAGCAAAAAAAAAATTGGGGTGCCATAGTTCATCGGGACCAAACGTCCATCCCGCTGACCCTCCTAGCCTCTTTGGTGTTTACCTGACCTTGTTGGGGGGCCTCGTTTGCAGAGAATGGGTTTCGCTGTGGCTGATTACCAGCAGCCGACTGCACGGCTGATGCAACGCTCGCACCATAGAAGGATGCTGGTTGCTGGGGCTGGGTTACATGCCTCGCGGCTGAGCTCGGGGCAGCATGCGCATGGGATGACGCTCCCGGACTAGTGTATGACTGATATTGATCAGGCTGCATCGGAACGTATAGCGAGCCTATATCAGTTCGACGATCCAATGAGTCGAATGGCGAAGCAGGAGTTTGTTGTGAATAAGCAGCAGGGTATCTATTTCCCGATGTCACTGTACTACCAGCATAACTCTGCGGAGGGCTCGTCACCATAGCGGGGGAGTTATACAAAGCATTCGCCGTTTCGCTCCTAGCAGCCGAGCGGACATTCGACATCACCGCATCACGGCGCTCATCATCGACCACGATCGTCGGTTGGTATGAAAGCGCCAATTTGGAACTCGGGGGAGGGTAGCGATTAGCTGGGTTAGCTTGTGCCCATCCCGTCAATCCAGAGGCGGCAGCTAACTCTGCCTGCTGTTGGAGATATTCCAACTGAGGATACGGTTGAGCGGCGCTCGGTTTTCCTGCTTGCCGTCTTTCCCATTCGCGCATGGCATCATCTCTATTCAAAACCGGTGTCAATGCATTCCGCCCGGCGATCACATCCTGATTCATGTGTTGCAAGCGGGCAAGAGCGGGAGGAATAGCATCCAACTGATGGTTGATGGTGTTCGCCCTTGCCCGTGCACTTGGATAATAAGAGTTGGAAGGAGGATTCGGATTACCCAGGTGGGAGGGAACAGCCAGAGCCCCGGTGCCTGATGGATACTGTGAAGGGTTCAGGGTTAGCTGCCCGGCTGAGGTTTGATTTGTCAACCCTCGCTGCGTGGTTGGGTTCGGCGCAGATGGATAACTGTGGTGCCCCGGAGTAGTGTAAGTGGACACAGAACCATCTTGAGAGCCAGAGTAGGATGTTGGTGTCGGCTGCGAGCCCTGTTGGGTCATGTACGGGTTGCGGAATGCATTGTTAGCGGCCTGAGTTGCGGCCTGTGCCTGGGCCGTGTAAGCCTGGTGCTGGGCGAGATGCTGATTGTACGATGCTGCATCTTGATAGGCTCTTGTACCTTTCGGCTGGGATGGTAGCAGGCCTCCATAGGGCCGCTTGGGGTCTGATCCAGATCCGGAGCTGGATGAAGACGATGAGATTTGTGGAGTGCTCTGACTATTGGGCTGCAAAAATAGAGTACGTAAGAAATTGAGAGAGTAGTATATTCCAGAATGTCGTACCGAGAAGGGCTTGGTAAAGTTTTCTCCGGTGATGAATGGGTGCATCCTCGCTTGCTGCGGAGACCACCTCTCTATGGGGTTCAGGTTGAGTAAACCCTGACAGAAATCGATGAAAGAAGCCCGATTGTTGAGTTCTGTAGAAAAGAGATGAGCTACCTGCAGCAAACCAAAATTCACTGGAAATACCTTTCTCCATTTCATGTCCCTGGCGAGACGACGATTTGAACGTCGGCATTGGAGCTGTGTTGATAATTTCAGGCAGCGTGGTAGCTTTAAAGTACTGCTTTCCAGGCTGCTCATTTGTGCCATGTTCACGGGAGTATTGCTCCAAGCTCTTGAGTCGATATTTTTTCTGGCCGTACACATCAACGTAAGAATCAAAGAATTGCTTGGTTTGTTTCCCCATGTCCAGCATGTACGTTGGAGGCATTCTAGAAAAACAATTGATCTCAACGTTTGATCGCAGTATGCCGATATGGTGATGCAGGAAACGAAGTAACCTACCCAAGCATCTCTACAATTCGGGTAATTTGATTATACTCGCTGGTTCCCGGGAATAATGGCAGCCCGAGGAACAGCTCCACTGCGATGCATCCCAAAGACCACATGTCAATGGAAGCAGTGTACGGAATGCCGAGTATGACTTCTGGTGAACGATAGAATCTAGACTGGATATACGTATACACCGTTTGGCGCTCGTGGCATGCTGAACCAAAATCGATAACTTTGATCTGCGGTGATTGCAGGCTAGATATCAATACAAATGTTAGTAATCGATGCAATACCATGGTACGAATCACGTACGATTTGAGAAGAATATTCTCGGGTTTAAGGTCACAGTGAATCAGGCGTGCTTCTTTCAGAACAGTCAAAGCGTCAAGGAGCTGTGCTGTGAATACTTTAACAAGTTGCGTGCTAAGGCCTTGGAATTGGTTTTGCTTGATGAGTTCGTAAAGATTAGAGGACAGCAACTCGAATACAAGGCAAAGATGGTTCCGGTGTATGAACGAATCCCGAAGTCGAAGAATGTGGTGTTCGTCGTGAGGGTCACATTGGTTGTTTAACTACAGGATCTTGAGATCAGAATTAACAATACAGCAACTATTGACATACCAGCTCAAGAATAGTAACTTCCATCATACTTTGATTAAAGTACGCGGGCTTGTTCTTGACAACCTTCACTGCCACAATCTCGTGGGTTTTCATGTTCTGACATTTTACCACTTGCCCGAACGTCCCCTGGCCAAGGATGTCTAGAATGAGGTAACGGCTATAAAGTGGTCAAAACCCATAACAATTGTGCCACAGGAACTGGATTGACATACTTGTGACCGTCTTCAGTTCCTAACCAATCATTGACGTAAAGGATATAATCGTAATCCTCGTTGTCATATCCGTCATTGTGAGAAGGCTTGCTTGGCTTTGTGAGCACCCGACGCGGGTTGTGGGTTGACTCATATCTGAATTGCGGGTTGCAAATGTGGTATGTATCCAAGATATTAGTTGTAAGTTGCCTGAGAGGCTGAAAATAGCAGCCATTAATTAATGGGTACAGAGCAGTGCAAAAGAAAACATACTGATAAGTAGACCCCACTGGCATCCATGCGCCTTCCAGGAGGTTGGGTATTGACGTATGGGCGAAGATCGCGAGGATCACGCACTCTTCTGAAGCCAGATGCACGTCGTCGCTGGGGGGGTGCGTCCACCACCATTGCTTGCTCCTGTCCGTAGTACGGAGATGCCGGACTGTGGGAATGAGGGTAAGAAAGGGGAGTGTTAGGAGTTGAGGCGGAGTTCTGCCGAGGGGGCGGTTGAGCAGACAGATGAGTTTGATTTTGATGCGATAAAGGCTGTGGACTAGCGGAGTCCATCACATAAGAGGGATAGGCAGAAGGCGGCTGTAATGCGTTTTGAGGAGTGTACGGTGACGCTACTGGCATTGGTGGAGTGGATGTTTCTGCTTTGACCTGGGAATGAGTGCGAGAGTGCGAATGGTAAGCTGAAGAAGGAAGGATCCTCTGAGGATCAGAAGTGCCTCCATATGGATAAGAAGAGGCTGCGGTTGTAGGCGAGTATTGGGATTGCTGCGAGTAGGAGTCCAGCAAGGTTCCTGTGGTGCTGCCGCCACGCAAAGGCGATCGACCTGCGCGCGATGTAGAATTCGAGTCATGATGGGTCTGAGACCTCTTGGGCTGGTTAGCCGAGCCAGTGTAGTACATATCTGAGTAGGCATCGGCAGTGGGCGATGCTGTATTGCTGTTGTTAGAAGCACCTGAGAGAGACTGAGAATGATGGAATGCGACGCTGGGTGGGTAAAAAGAAGATGGCTGCTGAGATTGGGAGGAATTCATCTGCCTTGAGCTGGAGACATTCTGGGTGTCGACGTTGAAGGCGCCCTCTAGATCTTCTGGCTGATGGTGACGGCGGGCCCTAGAAGCAGAATTTGCGCCACTAGCCCCACCACCGCCCAATGACGCGCTCCTTGCGAGCTGGCTGTGGTTGGTGGAGAGATAAGAGGGGGGGCTTATAGCGGATTGCTGATCCTGTTCGAGCAGCTGGGATATACGGGGCTGACGAGAGGAGCCAGGAGACGATTGATGTTGAATGGGGGGTAAGCGCTGCGCAGAAGACGCGGCCAGAGCCTGGGGCGGGGGTGGAGGGGGTGGTGCTGGATAAAGATAAGAGGCCTGAGCAGCAGCCTGGGCAGCCTGTGCTGAGGACGAGAGGGGTTCAAGGTGGGCCTGGGTTTGCCAGCGAGGGAGATCAAAGTCTTCGTTTGTACCGGTCATGTATGCCAGTTCGGGTTCCGACATGCTCTTATTAAAATTGGTTGGTCGAGAAGGCAGCACTCGTCGCCGCCGCCTGTTTGTCGTCGTCGTCGTTGTGAGCGATGAACAGGGCCTGATGTGCTTGTCGTCGTCGCAGCTCAGGGATGGAAAAAGAAAAGGGAAAGCTCCCCCAGCAGCCAAACGTAGTGCCAAGTGGCGAAAGCCGTGAAATGACACACGCTCTACGGGATTAAGGGTCGGCAATCGATCCTCGCCGCACACTTTTAGAATAGCTGCTATCTATTTCTCATTTCCTGGCCTGGGATCGCAGCTTTCGTATATCATACAACGTTCATGCTCTTATGCATCAGCTAATCTATTATCATCTTAGGAGCTCGCTCTATTCATCTGAGACATCGCCCTCTCTCCAGTCAAGGTTTTACATCGAGCGGAGAACAAACCCGGTTGCCAATGAGCTCCGCATCTATTCTTCACCCATCATGTGGTTGGAAATGATCCACGAAGGCTTACAGAAACCCCCATATGCATCGCATACAGGTGCTTGGTCCTGATGTCGTGCTCTTTACCGTGCCATTCGCTCCAAACCTGCCATCTATCAAGATATCGACTCCACAGCCTTCAGCGTTTCAACAATCCCCTTCTCTGCGTCGAGAAGTAGCCGTCCTTGCCCCATTGACAGAAAGCTCGATGGTATATCAACCGATAAAAATATTTGTTTCCCGAATCGCCGGGCTGTCGTCGTTGTCGTTATGCAGTCAGTAATGTCACGGACAGAATATATAGATCAGAGGTCACCTAGACGCTGTGCCATCGACAGTGCAATGTCAGAACTAGATGAACGAAACAGAGATGTCGCAGGTCCCAACGACGGCTAATTCACATCTCAGGAACGTATCAAAATGAAGTCAGAAGCGAAATATAATCACTCACAGAGCCATTGGGAGCGGGCATAGCACAAGCCCAGTCTCTGGCAAGAGTCCCTTGTAAAGGCGCTGTCTGCGCATCTTCAGGTGATCCTTCAGTGGTGCCAATCCAGAGCATGTAAGAATCCACGAGAACAGTTGTGCGCAAAGCTAAAGCAGGCAAAGAGGGATCAGACGCTGGAATGTACTTTGTCTGAACACTGATAGTAGGCCGCGATGGTTCTGCCATGGCTGTATAGGAGGACCTCAACTTGGCAGTGAAGTTAGATGGCAAGGGGGTGTCGCCACAATAACTTGTTACTCGAATATACTCCCGCTTATGGTCGATGCCCCTCTACCCTTTACTGATTACATTTCCCTCTTTCCTCCACACGATCTACCTCTAGTCTATCTATCTTCTAATCTATCTTACCATGTCTTCTCACAATAGAATAACCCGTTTTGCGGACATCGCAGACAGCGACGGCAAAGTACACTGTCGTCACGGAGATGAGGTCTTCCTCAAGACCAGTCGCACTGAAACAAACCCAGAAAGGTGAGCTTCAAGTCTTTTTTGCTCTCAACTAGTATATCTTATGTGCTATCAGACAATTCTACTCTTGCAATAGGCCAAAACGCTGCGGGTTTTTTCGTGCGTTCTACATTTCCTATAATGCTGCATTGCTGATGACGCTGAAAAACAAGACTGGAATGATGAAATCGACTACGGGGGTTATGATATCTCAACACTACATGCCAACTCAACACCAAGTTCTTCACAGCCGCTGAGAACCAGCATCATTCGCTCTCCGAGCAAAAAGAACCCCATGAAAAGAAGTCCATCTCCATCCCCTCTCCCCAGCCCCTTTTCTTCATCCTCGACCTTAGCAGACACACAAGTTGGCCTGGGCTCGCAGACAAGGTCACGCATGACGCCGGGTCAACAAGCGCCCCGACATAACTGGCAGAATCGTTCATCCGACATTAATGCGAGTTTCGCCTCTGGTTCTGGACTTCCCTCTAGTCAACAAACTCAGGTGCCGTCCCAGTCGTCCGACTTGGATATGGGTTGGGATGATGCATTTCCGCCCACGCAGGACTCGAGCGGCTCTGGCCTGTCCTTGTCTGACCATGAATTACCCATGTTTGTCGAGGAGGGAAGAGTTGTGAAGAAACGTAGGGTGTCGGAAGATGAAGAAGTGGTCATCGGTAACGACGAGGGTGGAAACGCCATGTTGTTAACACCTCCGATGTCGTCTCAGCGACAAGGTGGAAATAGTGCTCAAGCCAGGTTTAGCTCCAGCGAACCAATTACGAGACACACTGGGAACGGACTTGGCAGTTCGCAGTCCATGGCAAATAAGAACGCGGTCAGTGATGGATCTCGGTTCGGCGGCTGTTATGCTGAGCAGTAAACTGAATGTTACCATTGATTTTGCCGTAGGATAATACTTTCCGCGATCGAAGTGATGCTCTTCGACCTTCGTCGCAGTCACAAGACACGAATGCCCCCGGCAACACCGACCTAACACAGGATACCCTGATAGCCAGCATCAAAGCTTTGATACCCCGAGCTGAAACGATGGAGAGGCTTCTTCGAGCGAACCACCGAAGTGAGCAGGTCAAGCTGAAGACCATAGCTAATCAGCAAGGGGAAATCAAGCAGTTGCAGAAGAAAATCGACCTGCAATCTCAAGAGATCACCCGGCTCAAGGTGTTATTAGAGGCTAAAGACCAACAAATAGCAAAGTCCTATGATGAGAAAGAGAAGCAAGTCTCTTCGTCCGCTTTTCCCGGGCGGGCCATTAAGCTTACTGCCTCCGTTCTTTTTTCAGATTGAGAGATACCATCCGTATTCGTGAGGAGGCCATTGGAGCTCTGAACGCGCGCCGCGCGTTATAAATATGCGCATCGATTTTGATGCGATGTACGTAGATATCACCGATATTTCTTGAATGGGTTGACTGAAAGCATAAACCTTTGCACGCAGCTAGCGTTGTCCCGTGCTCACCATTATCTATCCTCGGTGAAATAATGGGATATTCACTAAGCAAATCTTTGCGGAGGAATAACCCCTTGTGTGTGGGGTATTGGAGCAGGGGCGATAGAGATGCCATTTACATTTGACATTCCATTTCTCGTCTTGTGTTGTGATTGGACCGTGTAATTGCAGTGTTAGAGATACCTCGAACAATGTATGTAGCTAAACGCGCAAGCTCTAATAGGGCCGTTTCGTACTTGTACTCACTAATGAAGTTCACCTTTCTATGATACACTGTAGACAAAGTTAATGATACGACTGTAACGTTAGTAGTTAAAATACTGTAAACCTCAAATAATCCCCGAGCTCCACTCCACTAGCATGGATATCTGATTTGTGCATTCACACCACGCTCATGACCAAAAGCTCTCTATCTCCGCCATCATCTCGTGAGCTGGAGGATGTAGTAGCACTGAGGTATATTTGCCTGGTGATACCAGCGGTTTGCCACGTATCGCACATCACGAAAGGGTCTCCCCATAGATATCGTCGCTGCCATTCTCAGAAACAACAGGCAGTACCCTTTCTCCCTCGCGATACTAACGTCACCGTCAAAAGTCCAGTTCCTGAAACAATCCGAACGAGAAACAGCAAGGATGCAATGACAATAATGTTGATTAATAGAGGCACAACAGATTAAGAGGTATATTTACATTTTACAGGATGGGGAGAGAAGCACGAAGCTCGGCGGCCGCGAACATATGTCGTTCCCTTCGATAGGCTATGTCGAGCACCGACCCAGATCCGCGCTCGTGCCAGCCGGGTGATTGAGTGGTCGATAAAGCAGTCGTCTACCGCAAATCATAACACATCAATCTAACGTTCAGATGGAGATAACGCCCTTTTTTTCACAGTCCGGTGTCAGTGGCGAATCCCTTACTTGAACTTGAATTCAAAAGCGTGCTTGAAATATCAAGCAGCTGGGGCCATGGGAAGCACACACACACAAGTCACGGTAGATGATCATTGGATAATGGGGTAGAATTTTAAGCTCGTCCCAAGAGCAGCTCGACGTAATCTGAGCGTCCTTTCGCCGCCGAATAGCAGAAATATTCTTCCGATAACAATGGGGACGAAAGGTCCAGGGTACAAGTGGCGAGGAAGCCCTGCTTAACGATATAGCCAATCGTTGAACCTTGTGTCCGTCCGAGGACGATCTCAATAGATTTCAGCACGACTACCGCGTTATGTTCTTGACGGCATCTGCATGGTATTCATTGTATTCATGCCCCATCGCTTCTTGGCAAGACAACCACGTGGGGAGGCAGAACACTCGTGTATGTCATATCAGGAAATAAGCCAGCGAACTGCCACCATCCACCAGAATAAGGCGTCAGCATCATCAGAAAGTATGTATATGTATAGCTGCTCACGAGGACATAAAGCACCGGCCGCACCATGCTCTTTTTTTCCCAGAAGTGCAATAGAGACCAGCCATGAAATAACCGTTCAGCCTTCGATTGTTCCCAGATGACTTGTAAAGACTGCGATGACCGAAGCACAGAATGGACGTTGGGGTCCAGCACAAAGGCGATGACGGCCCTATGAGAGAAAAAAAACCGTGCGGAACCATCAATGAAATCAAAGAAGTCAGTCGGATTAACCGCATCATTAAAAAAAACCCCCCAACTGAGTGAGGAATGCGCTAACACCCCCAATGCAGTTTGCAAAAATCCCAGTGGGCCCGATTTAAAACACAAATTATTGAGGGCGCTCACCGAGTGCGGATGTTTATAGAAACTCTTGATACCCTCCCCCCCCGTTTCGCATATAACTTTGAACTGGCTCGGAAAGAATATGGGTTCCCAAAGCATGGCAATGTTCACGTGGAAGAAACTTTTGTGGCTCAACGAGGCTCGATCGAAAGGCACCGGAACTGGATTGCATACCCACAGGTTTATTTATAAATAAAATTAAAAAAAAGCGATAACGACCCTGCCCACCAAAAAAAAATGCAGGGTACAAAAACCCGCAAGAGGTGTGAACCGTATCGGGTCAGCCAAACGGCTTGACACAGAAGCCATCGTCACGACATTTCAGTCTCTTTGCAGAAATGGCACAATCAGGAACTGTAACGTACTGCTATTGTGGGCCAGTGGGGGGGGTTGCACACGGCTGTCGTAATTCACCATCGAGTGCTCAGATAACGACGAGTGAAGGTGTTGCTAGACCCGACCGGTCCGTGGCCATAGCGTCTCCTCTTGAGCTGCGCAGACTAGACGAGACACAGCGAATATCGATGAAGTGACAGCGACCTTTGAAAACGTCGATGAACCGCATGGTATGATGCCGGCAACTAGACGACTATGCCAACACCCGTGTCAAAAGCGTGTAAACCTGTGGGGAACGAAAAAAAAAGGACTGTATACAAGAACCACCCTACCAAAAGAGTTTACACAGCAAGGTTATAGTTATAGTTGAGAATCCGTCGTAGGTAGATAAAGCACTTACCGCCAACGCACCCGAGATCACCCTTTTGGCCTCGCAAAAAAACCGACGTTGACAGCCCGGAAATGAAAAAGCTGTCAAAAACACTCGACTCTGAGAATATGATAGATTATCTGATACATAATGTTTGCACGGCCGTCGTTTGTCGTATGGTAGTATATCCAATCTGACGATAGGTTACTCGGGCTCGAAACATCCGGCGTTGCGTGCTCTCAGCCTGCATGTCCTGGTCCATCCACGTTAGTCCACTGACACATGGTGCAGGGCGAATTTCAAAGATAGGTTATAGCATCTGCGACGATTCCAACAGACGGGACGTAAAACACCGTCGAAAGCTGACACGGTTCTCGAGACTTTTCTCAAATGGGAGAGGTGCAGATTCAGAAATGATAAGATCCAAAAGCTGACGCTCAGACGAGAAAAGCCGAGGAGTGAAAAATAGTCAAGGTTGAAAGGGTAAACGGGAGAATCGAAGAGCGTACGTTTGGTATCGTGTTAGGTAGCACGAACAGGCAGGGTAAAAAAAATAATGAATGTCCGAATGGCGGTCTCGAGCCTTTACGTTACGAGCAATACATAAGATGTGGCAGTGAGGCATATGCAAGAAGAAGAAAAGGAATGACGATAGACAAAAAGACAGTACATATGTTCAGTATGTAGTGGTAAAAAAGTGAACAGGTATCGAGACAGAAGGGGGTTACAAATGCTGGAAACAACCGACTAGCAGAACAATCTTCGCCACCAAAGGATGAATCTCGTCCACCAGTCTCCTCTCCAGTCATCGCCACGTTGTTTTGAACTGATCCACATACTCCCAGTTCCGAAACGTATTTCTTTGCCTTCCCCCCTCTCATCCTCCCCTTCCTCAATGTCTGCCGCACGAGCGCTAGGGGTAACAGGAAAACGGGGTAAAGGTCTCCGCGTGATAAAGGAAGGAAAGACAGTGATCAGTGAAAGGTATTCGGGGTTGGGAAGATCCGCCGAAGTCCAGATACGCAGGTATTCTTCTTCGGATTCTTCCATCGCGAACTCGGAACGAAGCGGGGCCAGCACTTCAATATCTTCGTCAGCTTCGTGTGGGGTAGTAGGGCTCATACAGTGCTCTACACCTTCAGACACCGAAGAAGACGAGAGCTGAGATATGGTGACGCCGGAGGATTGAGAAGACGCTGAGGGGAGGGAGTGTGAGAGGGCGGGAGGGGTGTCTAAAAATGGGTCACTGGGGGCTCGAGCACGTTTTCCGTGGGTAGCCATGGAAATGGGCGAGGCTTTCTGACCAGGCTCATTATCATTCGCTGGCAGGGGTTGCGAACGGGAGCGTGAGTGTATGGCAGGGGAGGTCGGATATGCACCGATTGAAGAAGACCCGCCTTTAGAGGATGGAACTTCTTCGAAGGCGAGGACCTGAGTAAAGAAGGACCATTGTTTTTGTTCAGCAAAATGTAAATACCAAAACGAAACTTTAAAAGACTGACTCCTTTGAGAACATCAATAGCTTCCAGCATGAAATTTTTTCCACTGATGCGTGGAAAAAAAGAAGGGAAAAAAAAAAGTGAGCATTTGTGATAGACTTGATGGAACGGCGGTGAAACGAGGGTAAGAATCGACTTACGCTGCCTCTTTGAACACAGCATCATCCAGTTCCCATCGTATGCGATTTCCTCCCGCCCCTCCGAGATGCTCCGGGACCACTTGCAGCCTCATGATCGCCCACAAAGCCTCGAAAAAAGGTGTCGTCCCCGGCATCCCCATCGTACACCAGCTCCTCACAAACCTATCCAACCGCTCCAACCTCTCCTTCCGCGCCACCAGCCCCCTCGGATCCGCACGTGAATGAGGCATGAGCGAGCCACCCGGCAGCGTGGCGGTGAGGTGCGCTTGGAATTCAGCGTGGCGGCGGGCATTGACGCTGGCGTGGTAGGCGGAGCGGATGGAGGCTTGTAATCGCGAGTAGGGCGCACATTGAGCTGGAGGGAGGTTGGCGAGTGTCTGGGTCATGTGCCGGCCCGAGGCATCGTCCTGGTTATAATACCTGCAATGACCAAAAAAGAACCATGAGCAACCGACGTCTGCGAGATCGTTACACACCCTAAAGAGGGCGGTGGGGGGTGAGAAAGACAAATACCATGCACGACAGTGTTCTGTGAACTTTTCGAGATCGCTTCTCGATACGCCTAAGGGGGTTACGGAACGATGACGTGCGGATGGGGGCGGGGTAGGCCCAGGACGTCCATTCCTCCTTCCTCGCGCCCTGCCGCCTGGAAATGAAGGAGACGTGGGGGACACCACGCCCCGTTTCGTTGGAGGACTCGTCGGGGGGGATATCACAGAGGAGGCGGGGAGATCATAAAGGAGCGTTTGTGTATCGCGGATGGGGTGGCTCAGCGCTGAGGGCGATTTGGAGGGGCTGTGGAAACGCAGGGTCGGGGGCGGGGGTCGGGGGCGGGGGGTCTCGAGGCGGTATACAGATCCTGACATGACGACTCGTATCCAGCCGGGACGTCGATGAGCAGGACGTTTGATGTCTTTTTTTTATTCAAGACAAAAAAAACACACACACACAGAGAGAGAGAAAAAAACTCTTGGAAAGAGTCTTTCAGGTGTAATTCGGTTTGCAGAGTGGGTGGGGTGGGACGGCCAGCGCTGGGTGTACGCTGCTGGTATCAACGATGAGGGTTCACGAGGAGGCTCGCTGCCGCTGACGACCGCCGCAAGGCAATAATATGACATGCCCGCGCGGCCCTAATTAGATCCCCGTCACGCGCACTCCGGCTCACTTCCCCATACGGCAGGTCCATACGTTCGTCCTCTCTCTCTCCTCTCCACGTCGTCATCCACGTCCTGCTCAGCGTCTTGACCACCCTCTCTCTGAAATACACATATGTAAGCCCAGTTTGAGCTTCGAAAGCACCGTTCGACTGGACGCTCACTTGAGTCACCCCGTTGCCTTTCTTAGTACGCGCTTAGGCAGGACCCATCATTTCCCAGTAAACACATCCCCGGGGGGGATTACGGCTTTGGATCACCGCACTGGCGCAAGACAAAGACGCTGAATAACCGTGGAATATGCAAACATAATAGCCCCTGTCTCCATGTCTGTGCTCGCAAAATGAATCGCCGCGACAATGTCCCTTTCTGACCCGCCCAACCACACCGCAACGACGGCTCAAACGCCCCGATCAGGTTAACGAACCAGTACACCAGTCAAGAGCGCCCGTCGCATACACTCGCCCATCACGTAGTCAGCCCCCCTGCTTAATACTTCTTCCATGTCCGTCATGTCCAGTGTTGACACTTTGTGACATGTCATTCTCCTAAAAAGTGGGTGCTGAAGTCGGCGGCCCCCTCCCCTTTTTAGAGGCGCTGACAAGGTATTCGAACTGCGCAGGCATGGCTGTACTGCGATCAAAGCAGAGTATGGACGTCACAATCTATCAAATGGGAGATCAAGATCCATGCTGACATCGACGCCTTCAAAGTCCTTGGATTGCATCTACATCTGCCATCTGTGTTTGTCAGGCATGCTTTTCGACTGGACTGAACTCGGCCGCGGAGGACGCGAATGCAAAAACATCACGTCGCAAATGCGACCGTTCCTTCGAGCGGTACACGTTGGGCCCTCATGCAGGATAATCCATTGATGCCCCTCCCCATCGTTGGCATCCATCGGACGATTCTGAGTGAGATGATCGGTGATCATTCAGCCAGCATTAATGGCTCGAAACGCTAGCTTGGGTTTTGTCACTGATCGTCTTTAGATCACCGACCTCGTTCCTTTTTTTTTTTTCTTTTTTTTTTTTTCCCACCCTGAACAGACACCACAGGACAGCACTTGTTTGTTACCAACGATTTCCACCGTTAGCGAACGTGTTTCGAGAAACCTAATTGGTTGCCAAGGACGGTAGGTTCAAACATTCTTATTGAGATTTTGTATTCTATTCTATTCTATCGAGCTGATTGGATCTGTGTCCTTAATTGGCAGAGCAGGTTGGATTGGGATTGATTTGTGTGTCAGTGTGTATAGGCTCTGAATGAGGTCGCAGTCGTGATCGCTTGTGTTTATTGATCTGTGCGCGGGCTCCGAGGGAGCATGATAGAAAGTCCCTGTGGCTGTTTAATGAAGAGAGGCGGTTGATGGTGAGGTAGAGGAAGATGAGGCAGAGAAGATATGAGGCTAACAAAGTGGTACGAGATGGAGGTGTATGTGGATAAAAACGAATAAAATAGAAATGGTAACGAGAACGTCACGAGGGAATGGAGCACGTGCGGATGGAGGGAGAGGAGAAGGGAGGGGTGTGAAGAGGGCGGGATTATTAAGATTAGATATGGGACGGGAGAAGCCGCAGACGGCTGTAAATAGCGGGAGCACATGCGGGAGAGAGAGGAGGGTGGGGCGATAAGGTTGGTCGCGTAAAGGATGTAGAGAAAAGGATGGCGTCTATGACGGTCACTTGAAGAGTTTGATCGAAATGTCAAAAGGTACCTTGCGGAAAAGGCGAGAGACGAT